CCAGGATTGTCCTAGAGTCTCCAGGAGTTAAAGATTAATCTTTAATTAAAGACAATGTCATGTGATGAAACCTCCAGGAAGTCATCCAGCCAAAGCTGGCAACCCTAATGCCAAGGCATTGGGATCTGAAGCTTATGACAGGCCCTGTTTCACGAGCAATAACTGATGCAGCAGACAGTTAGAGTTGTAGGAAAGAGATCTTTATTGAATGTGCAGAGAGGCCTGTTACATACTGAAAGGCCTGTGTTTGTCTGGTAGCAGCCTGGAGATCAGGTTGCACTCCAGAGCCGCTAGACGTCACATCAGACTAGCTCCCTCCTGAAACCCGACTCACTTTCTTCAGTTCCGCGTCCACGCCTCAGACTCAAGGCCCTGTCCCTGTTTTTAATATTGTTGTTGGGCCAAGCCCAAGGAGCCTTCTCCTGTCTTGCAAAGGTGATGCTGAGATATTGTAGCTCGGGCAATACAAGATCATACGAGCGCTGCAAAATGTCTTACATTTTGAAAATGACGGCGTATATTAGTGTGTGCATGGGTTGTATGTGTGTACATTGCGGGAAAGAGAGAAGAAAGTACGTTACAGCCCTTTAATGTTCAAAATAATAATAACTTAATAATTAATTATTATAAAACTGATGGCAACCAGGCAATAGTCAGCTAGTGGGTGCGTCCCTCCATTCATATGCAATCTGTAACAAGCTAGATACTACAGTGAAGAGCAGGGTATAAAAGCAGAATGGAACAGGCAACAACGCACAGTGACAAGCCATGGTGCACACTTGTGCAATAATTAACTAGTCGATGCATTCCTGGCTCGTGGATCACCCTACAATAACAAACCAGCATGCCCCCTAAGATTTGAAGTAAGTTAGCAAGGAAACTGAGTTCACTTTCATTCAGCCAAGGGATTAGAGATGACTGAAATTTTTATGCACAAAAAAAGGTTTGTGTGTGTGTTTTTGGCAACTTATCTTGCCACGAAAAATGTATGACTGAAAATTTCTGCCTTTTTTGGCTAAATTTTCCATCTCCTTTTATAATCGAAATTGTTAGCAGAATGGTGTGCTTACTTGAAAACCCAAACAGTTTTGAAAATGATTTCAATTAAAACATTGGTAACAAATACTGCTTTTTAAAAATTTTTGGTGAAAGAGCGGGTTCATTTCAAACACAACAAAACAGAAGCAGCTTCAAAATGTGTCATAAAATTGGTTTTCCCATTATTTTGACCAGCAGCATACAATAAGAGAAAACGTTACATCATATCATTAAATAATAATAGAATACCTAGCTCTTATATAACACCTTTTCATCAGTAGATCTCAAGCACTTAAAAATATTATTATTTCTTGCAGTAGCACCTATGAGCTCCAGAAATGGACCAGAACCCCAATGTTAGGGTGCTGTACAAACACGTAACAAAAAGCCAGTCCCTGCCCCAAGGACCTTAGAATCTTAAGTGAGAGATACATCCACCATCGCTGCGTCAATTCCATTATAAACCCATATTTCCCAGCGCTCACAGTGTAGGTAAGGAATCTCTTTGAGATAAAATTTGGCCTAGTAGCAGCAGATATGTTTATCTGTGTTTGGGAAGATGAGAGGCGAATTGTCAAGGCATTTTTTTTTCTCTTTCAAGTTTGGCATGAAAAGAGATCAAGACTTCCAGGAAATTATGTTGCTTTGACTTTAAAAAAAAAAAACCCCAAAACTGGCAAGTGCTGGTTCCATAATAATGCCTAATTGCTTCTGGTATTTTGAAAATAAAATGATTAAATGTGCGTATGTAATGCAATCTGTAAATTGGCTACTGAACACGAGACAGGAACTTTTTGTACGAACTCTCCGAAGGATTCTTACTGTCTGCATGCAGAGCCTACACATGGAATGCCTGTGTTTCCAATTAATGGGACTTCCTTAAGAGTACAAAGATGGTCTTGCAGTTAAGGAGCTGCCATCAAACTCCAGATTCAGTTCCTGGCTCTGCTACAGACTCCTTGGCTTGCATTCTCTCCCCGGCTAAGGGCTTGTCCACCCTAGATAGTTTTAGGTCATGTTTACACTAGGAGTGTTTACCAGCATACTGCACCAGCAAAGCGATCCTAGTGGGGAAGCAGCTTCTCTCTGCAAAGTTACATTCTACTGGTATAGCTTGTTAACCCCACACATGAAACAAGCTCTGCTCGTAAAAGCACATCTTTGCCGGTATAACCGAGGGTATCTCTACCCCACAGAGGCATACCTATGGCACTGCAGCTGTAGCTTCGTAGCGTGGATGCTTCCTACATCGATGGAAGGGGTTTCCCCATCAATGCAGTTACTCCACCTCTCCGAGGGGCGGTAGCTAGGTCGAGGGAAGAATTTTTCCATGTCTGCACGGGGGGGTTAGGTCAACCTAACTAGATTGCGCAGGGTGCAACATTTGACGACGTAGCTAGGTCAGTCTCATTTTAAGTGTAGACTATTGGCTGAGTCTACAGCGTGGGTTTCTGCTGTCTCCGTTCTGTCAGTCAAGGATCGCGCCTCTTCACACCCCTGACAGCCATTGCTAGTGTAAACAAAACCGCACTGCTTTAACTATGCTGGTGTAGTTAAAGTGATACAGTGGCTGCCATTATATTGGCACAAAGGTGTTTATACTGGTATAGCTATAGGTGTGCCGACACTATGGAGATTATACCGGCCAAGCTACATCACCGTAGGTGTGGCTTTGTCTACATGATAGGGACTATAATGGCATAGCTACAGCTCCATAGTGTAGACACAGCCTACGCCCACAGAAGGGGTTTTCCCATCAGTACAGGAACACCATCTCCCTGGGTGACCGTAGCTAGGTTGATAGAACCTCTCTTCCACTGACCTAGATGCCTCTACACTGGGAACTAGATTGGCACAGCTATGGTGGTTGGGTGCCCTGAGCAGTGTAGCTATGTCGACCTAAATTTGAAATGTAGACCAGGTCTAAGTCACCTTTACAGCAGTAGAACTGTTCACACTAGGGCCTTTACTTGTGTCTATTTGAGTAAAATAAATCACCCTCTTAACTGAAATCGTTTTATCAGTAACACTCTTAAGTGTAACCCAGGCCTGCAATTGCTCTTGCATGGAAATACGTCCCATTTTCAAGCCCGGTTAGACTAGCAGAGTAATGTGAAAAGACCCTTAGTGTAAATGAGAATCAGCCCAAGGTGGCTAAGCCACGGAGTTCAGCTCCAGATTTCAAACACTGCAAAGATCAGAGTTCGGTCAGGTTAGCTCATATCTGCATTTCCTCTGGGTGCAACGTTCTTCTTTGAGATTGGCTCTAACTGGGTCATTTGGGTCCAGATTTTGAATGCCCCAAAGGCCAGGTTGGCACAGAATCAGGTCTTCCCTTGTTTTGTGAGGTGCCTAGCAATTTGGGGGCATTTGGTAAATAACAGGTAAGACAATGACAAAGAGAGAGCTGCTAAATATACCGGGACAGATTCTGATCTCACCTGGGTGTGAATCCAGAGTGACTCCACTCCCCTGCAGTTGTGTTGCTTCGGATTTATATCACTGTAAGTGAAATCAGAACCTGACCCCCTGATTTCAACCGAGTTGTAACCCAGCTTATGCCAAAAGGTGAATTTGGCTGCTGGCCAATGAAAAATGTGAGCTTGTTTATTTTTTAAGTTAAAGAAGGTCATTGTCATACAAAGGATACATCATTTATTGGTGCAGACACAACCTACATCTCTAATACAGTTCTGCTGTGTTGGTCTTGGCAGGTTCCATTGAACATTGCCCCAAACCCCTTACATCTGTTTAAAACCATCTTGCAGAATTCCACCCACCTGTTTTGCTTGGGGCAAGTAATATTTTTGTGTTTTAATAGGAGAGGAAATATTTTAATAGGAGAGTAAATATCATTAGGGTTCCCCCCCTCTTCCTCTGCCCCCCCCATCATTATAATGGTGGGAGAATAGGTTTTGTGTCCGAGCTGGCACAGGGCCAAATACATGCTGTAAATGGATCCTTTGAAGTCAATGGAGTTCCACCCACTTGCATTGTCATAGGGTCATATTCTCCTCTAAAATAGAGGCACAATCCTAATCAGATCCTATGGGTTAGATCCTTATTACAAATGAGAGTAAGGCGCATAATTTAATCTTTCTGAATCCTGCTAATCTCAGTGGTCTCTTGTGGCTGTGAGTTCCGTGGGTTAATGTGCGTTTTTATTAGTTTATAAAACTCTGTTAAATTCTATAGGAGGGTTCCAAAGACCCGTTGTCTATTAAATACTACAGGCCCGATTCTCATTTACACCACTCTGGCAGCGTAAAGGGCCCTTAAAATGGCAATCAGTTACATATACACCCACTTTAAAGATAAGAACCCAGGCTTCTGGGATTTACCCATGATCACATAACGAGTCTGTGGAAAAGCTGAGCTTTGAGCTTGTAAGGATGAAGCCGGAAGAGCTACAATTATTATAACAGGCACAGCGTCGTAACCGCAGCTCCATCCCACTAAAGCAATGTGGAGGCGTCCCGGTGTAAATGAGGATCCGGCCTTGTAGGCCTTTTCTTGTAACTGGGAAGTCGAGCTGATTGCATTTTTGGTGATTTTTTTTTTAAATAAAAATTTTAACGATTCCCCCCACCCCAATCCAGTTTTTAACGTTTTGTAGATTGTTTTTCCAGTGGTTTTGAAATGATTTGTCTTTTTCAAATATTTTAAATTTGGGATTAATTTTTGACCCCTTTACATTTTGTGGATGTTTTTACTCGTTTGTTTTTTGAAATATTGATCCTCCCCCCCCAAATTTTGAGTAAATTTCCCCCATATTTCAGCCACATTGCCCCCCCGCCCTCCCGTTTCCAAACCAGGTCTACTGGGAAGGTAGTGACAATGTTTTAAACAAGCCCCTGCCACCTCCATCCATCACGCACCTGCATCCAACACCCTGCTGGCTCTCCCTTCTCCAACGTACCTCCCCTGCTCCAGATCTCAACCTGTCCTGGTTATGTTTTCAGACATTAAGAAAGAAAGGTTTTAACGGTTGCGACAGCCCGGAACCCGACGGAGACGACTCCATTGACCAGAGCCCCCTGATGGAGGATAAATACCGCAAAGCCAGCGAGGATCTGGATATCCTCTTCAAACGATACGGTGTAAGTACTGCGCCCCTCTGGCCAGAAATCCTTCATTATGTTTTTCTTTTTTTCTTTTGTTCGATTTCTTTCCAATCCTACCCCCATCCCCGCCACCTCCCCCGCCCTCTCAACGTAACAGGCGCTGAACAAGAAGCACAGGGAATGCGAGAGCCCAGAAGGGGACGAGGTGTTTGCGCTGACCCCGCAGACGGAGGAGAAATATAAAAAGATTGATGAGGAGTTTGATAAAATGATGCAGAGTTACAGGCTCGCAGTGAGTAGCTGGTGGCCTGCACATCCTGCCCTGGACCCCTAGCAACGTAGAATGCAGAGCGGCGAGGGTGACCACTGTGCATGGCTTTGCTTACGGAGCCTTGCTCTGCCTTGTTCGTTTGCTCCCATCGGGCGTAGCAAACCCAGGGCTAGGGAATGTCTGGGAGGCAGCATGGTCTAATGGTTAGAAACAGGCCTTGGTGATGCCGAGGCCCCTTTAGGTCACTCTGCCAGCATAAAGAGGTGTTAAAGTGGGTGGAAATGCCTCCCTCCAGCTGGTATGGAGCTGAGAGAACAACCCTGTGCCCATCCTAATCTCCTCTCCTGGCCTAGGGGGCAGATTGGGGGCACGGCGAGAACACAACACATTACAGTTGTTCCCTCCTACACAAGGCCTGAGTCTCAGTTGCACCATTCTGGCCTTAAAATGGGTATAATTTACCCACCTTTACGCGGTCAGAGTGGCATGAAGAAATTCTCGGGCCTGGTCTGCACTTAAAAGTTTTACAGGCATAACTCTTTTTGCTTGGGAGAGAGGGATCACCGTTCGCTGAAATCATTATACTAGTCCAGCCCCTAGTGTGGCTGCGGTTAGAAAAGTGCCTTTTGCCAGCACAGCTTATTCCCCTCCCCGTACGAGCATAAGACACAGGAACTGTAACTGCAGCTGCACTAGCTGGGTTGCAGATCAATGCAGCAGAGACGCCCTTAGCGTAAATGAGACTCCGGCCCAAGGGCCCAAATCCTCAGATATATTTAGGTGCCTGATTCCCATTGGTTTCGAAGGGAGTTAGGCACCTAAATACATTGGGCTTTGCTGTCTAACTCTGAGCCCCCACATTGGAAATGTTAAGACCAAGAACCTTAAAAATCGGTCCCATTGCGATTAATACTGAGTCGAATCCTGAGGGGTTTTTTTTTTTACTCCAGCAAACTCCTCTGAACTTCAGTGGGAGTTTTGCTTGAGTTCAGAACCTCTGTATGAATATGAGTCATGGTGGGGAAAGGGAGGGTCAGGTTATGACAGTTGCACCCGCTTTGGGATCAGATCCAGTTTGGAGCCACTTTTCTTTCAATTCGTGCGAATCCATAAAGCTCCCGGCGCAGCTAGTGGATGTGGCAGAAATTCAGGGTGGCTTTAGCCTGAGACGACGGCCCTGGAGTGGCATCAGGACAGCGATGAAAGGGATTTGTGTCTAGGGAGGGAAGAGGGGCATTGCAAATTAGTGGTTAGTTCAAGGGAGCAAAGACTATTGAGGCAGGCAAGCCATCTTCAGGGGGATTAGCCTGTCAACGGAGGCAGCCGTAATTAACTAACATTGCCGGGAGTAGAAAGGAAGGCAGTTTTCCAAGTGCTGGATGCAGGATAAAAAAAATACCCCAACTCCTTCCTGCTGCTCCTTACAAGGCCACGGGAGTGAATTTTTTCTTTTTTTGAGACTTCACTCATGCAAAGCCAGAGGTGTTTTTTTGGGCAGACTCTGCCAGTAAGAGATTGTGGGCCGGATGCTCATTTTCCCCATGCCACCCCTCTGGCAGCATAAAGGGACCTTCAAGTGAGTGTAACTGTCTCATGCGCTTTACACCACCAAAGTGGGGTAAAACTGGTTTTAGGGCTTATCTACTGAAGGAGTTGTTCCTAAATAACTCCATATGTTGACAGTTGTGTTCTGGAATAAGAGTGCCTTCTTTCTGCTTAGCTTAACTCCCTCGGAAAATGGGTTAAACTAACCACAGGATACAGCCCTCTTATTCCTGATTCAGAACATGCACACATGGAGTTATTCAGTTACAGCTGTTGAACTTTAAAGTCACACCCTACATGAATCTGCATTAACTTTCCATTGTGAACACGCCCTTAGTGTAAATGAGAATCGAGCCCCTGGAATAGGATTTTAAGGAAAGTTTAGCTCCCTTGGGCTTGATTCTGCCTCATGCAGTTCATCTGGGGCTTTGCCACTGTCTTCGTTGGTACAAGAATCGCAGGGTAAAATTCTATGTCTTGTGCTACGCAGGAGGTCAGAGTAAGACCATCACAATTGTCACTTCTGGCCCTCAAATCTGTGGGTCTGATTCTCAGCTGCCCTACGCCTTGTCCTATCATTTACACCAGTGCAAAGTGGGTATAAGACGCTGCCAGATGAGTGTGTAGCATTCAGCACTCGCTTTGCCCTGGAGCAGATAGTTACCCAAGGGCAGGCGAATGGGGAAACGGGGTGCGATCAACCAATGCATTTTTTATTATTTGTATTATAGTAGTGATTCCAGGCTGCAGTCTGGGACCAGGGCCCCATTATGCTAGGCACTGTGAACACGTATAAAAGAAGGAAAGTCCCTGTCCCCAAAACCTTGCGGTGTGCAGCATCCCAGAAGCAGGTTGATTAGTAACAAAAGCAGAGCATCTGCCTCCTTGACTTCACCTCTCTTGCAACAGGATTGAATTGTGGATTGTTGGAGCAGGTGCTTTTCTTTTTAACCAGCTTTTTGTGTGATAATGAGAACTAACACAACTCATCTGCCAGGGAAGCTCAGGACTCCCTGGTACAGAGAAACTGGCCTTAACAGGGGTTCTGCATTCTGAGTGCATTTGAAACTGACTTCCAAGAAAAAGAAAAGTCATTGGCGTTTGGCTGATTAATGAACCTTCCCCCCCTCACCCCCGGATTTTGGATTGTTGTGTTCATTCCAAACCTTTGCCTGCCGTAACACTGCAGCTTCCCAGATTTCTGCAATCAGCTGCTGGCCTCTGGGGGAATGAGAGCTGCTGGTTGAGTGGTCATTTGCGTGCGCACAACTCTCTCCCCACCTGGGCAGGAGCATGGGGAAGATTGGTCGGTTAGTGGTTCAAAAGTGCAATGTGATAGTTAAGAGCTAAGGGCTGAATCCTGTCCTCCAATCCATTCATGTAACTCTCATGTCAGCAGGTTTCACACGTGCATCTGGGGTAGAATTATGCCCTTCGTTAGTCTTTCTTTCTTTCTTTCTTTCTTTCTTTCTTTCTTTCTTTCTTTCTTTCTTTCTTTCTTTCTTGTTATTTATTGCGCACTATTGCATTGTAGAAGTGCACAGCCAAACATGTAAGGGCCTGATTCTCACTGACAGTCGGGGTGTGTCTACACTAGTAATGCCACAGTAGCTGCATCGATGTAGTGTAGACACTTCCTACAGAACGACAGAAGGATTTCTTCTGTTGCTGTGTCCATCTCTCTGAGGCCTGGCGTATGCGACAGGGTTAGATCGACGTAAGCTGCCCTCTGTCAACCTAGCTGTGGAAGTGCCTTCATGTAAATTGCGCTCCTGCCCACGCAAGCGCCTCTCGACGCCGATGGAGTAACACCAGCTCCCCAAGCGGCGTCGAGTCACGGTTGACGTAATTAAGACGCCGCAGTGTCCGTGCAGACACACTGTTGCTTTTGCGGACTATTACCGGCTTTCAGCCGCCTTCCCACAATGCCGCACCCCGGCAATACAGTCCGCACAAGCGCTTCTGTGAGGATGTGCCCCGCCGACGCCAGGAGCCAAGCGTGCGCGCGCACAAGCGATTTAATAGCGGTGGCTACACGCCGACGAAAGTTAGGGCGACATAGTGTTTGTAATGGAGACGTGGTCTAAGAGGCAGGAACGAGGCTGACAGAAGAATTCTTTCACCAGCTTAGGCCGTGTCTCAATTAGCACTGAGCTCGGCAAAGCTTTTGTCTCTCAGAGGTGTGAAAAAAACACCCGCCCTGAGCGACAGAGTTTTGCCAGCGTGAGCTCTCTTGGCACAGCACTACGTCGGCAGGACGCTCTCCCGCAAACATAGCTGCTGCTGCTTGTTGAGTTGGTTTCATTATGTCCACGGGAGAGCTACTCAGGACAGCCGTGCCGCTGTAAGCTTGTAAGTGTAGACCTGGCCCTAGCTGTGTCTACACTGTGGCTTAGGTCCGCTTCATTCCAGCTGCAAATTTTTCACAGCCTGGAGCAATGTGGTCAAGCCAATGTAACTTTGTAGTGTAGACCAGCCTTGAGTGTCCTCTATGCCACATTGGCTGTGTGTGTGGGAGGCGGGTGGGGGGGATGAGCGGGAAAAAAAAAGTGGCCATAAAGCTACTCCAGAGCCATGTGAAGGGGCCTTAGTGTCAAGGAGAATCTGGCTCGTAAGGTCCCTTGCCCTGCAGAGCTTGCAGTCTTAAAGCTCAAGTCAAGTGATCTGTGGCAGCAGAAGCCCCAAGCAGAGAGTGGTCCTTAGCACCTGCTTGCTGCCTGAAACAGCTGGATGCCCTGGAGATCTTTGAAGGAGGTGGGGGATGATTGGTAGGGGGGTGGCTTTCCAAGCCAGGAGCTCCTGGGAGGACAGAGGCGCGACTTCGCCATTCTCTCTCACGCTCGTTCTTCCTCTCCTGCAATACAAAGCTGCATTTGCCCAGCAGCGCTTTTGTAATGACTTCTCGGTGACACCAAAAGGCCGGGAAGCTTCCTGGCTTCACAAGGCCAATGGAATTAAAAGAGGGTTTTAGCAAAGCCCTGAGAGAGCCTCCAAGCAGGTGCCTGCTCTCGCTAATGAAGAGCATCAGATAGAGTGATTGGATAATCTGGGCAAAGTCTGGCTTTAACAGGAACCGAGCGAGGTGAATCTGTCCCTTGAGCCAGGGGCCAAGGATCATGAATTAGAGGCATTTCCACTGCTTTGAAGGTCAGAGCCCCAGGTCTTTCCACTGACTGGAATCGATAGGAGCCATCTGCAGCTTGCTTCTCTTGAGCAAAGCTGCACCTTGTAAATGCTTCGATCTGTCACTCTTTCTATTACAGTATCCACCTAGAGGCTCCAGTTGGGGTCAGCTGTGTGGAGCAGGGACTGTCTTTTTTGTTCTATGTTTGTACAGCACCTAGCGCCGTGGGATCCGGGTCCAGGACTCCTAGGCGCTAGCACCATACAGAACATACATAATAATCGGGGCCCTTTCTGCAGCATGCACAGTGAGACAAGACAGGACCCCATTGTACATACATCTCGTAAAAGATGGTCACTGCCTTGAAGAGTTTACGATCTGATTAGACAAAGGAAGTATTATTATCCCCATTGAAGGGGTGGGGAATTCAGACACAGAGAGATTCAGTGACTTGCCTAAGGTCTTTCATAGGGTCTGTGGCAGAGGTGGGAATGCCCAGAGTCTGAGGGTAGGTTAGTACTGTAACCCTAAGACCGTGCTCCCCCGAGAATGAGCACAGGTGCTATCAAACTTCATACTACTATGGAGGGAATAGCAAAGTTGTCCGAGGAAGCTCTTCAGGGCTGGGTCTGTGTATCCGTACAGAGCCTCGCACAATCCTGATTAGAGCATCTGGGTGCTACAGGAATACAGATAGTAGCTGTGAGTAGGGCCCTGGGATCTTACACTTCTGTGCAGAATTGACAGGATCTTTTCACTGAGATAGACTCAGCTGGATCCACAGCTGTGTAAGTCAGCGTAGCTCCGCTGACTTCGAAAGAGCCCTGGCCGCTCACACCAGCGGAGGACCTGGTCTGTTAAAACTCCACGGGGCTCCGTTTATCTCCCTCGGAGGTTGAAGGGAAGCTGCTGGGCCTTGTCTCCTGTGGATTCAGAGCTTCTCATTGCTAAGAGCACTGCGTTATTCCCCGCTCTGGCATTCCAAGGGAGCCGCTTTGAGACATTTCCACCTCTCTGTGAGCTGTTTTAAAACCACTTTGCTGAGCTCTGGAGGTAAATATATGCAGGCGTTTAGTCAACACCCCTCTTCCCCCAAAGCAGCAGGTTACAATGCTTTTTAGCTTCGATGTGCCCAGGTGGACATCCGTTTGCCCTTTTTTCTCCGTCTTCCTGGAGGGGATCCATGCCCCTTTGTGCCTGGGGCCAGATTCCCCACTGCCCTCCACCATTTTCACCAATGTAAAGTGGCTGCAGAATGGTAGCAAATCATAGAATCATAGAATATAAGGGTTGGAAGGGACCCCAGAAGATCATCTAGTCCAACCCCCTGCTCGAAGCAGGACCAAATCCCAGTTAAATCATCCCAGCCAGGGCTTTGTCAAGCCTGACCTTAAAAACCTCTAAGGAAGGAGATTCTACCACCTCCCTAGGTAACGCATTCCAGTGTTTCACCACCCTCTTAGTGAAAAAGTTTTTCCTAATATCCAATCTAAACCTCCCCCACTGCAACTTGAGACCATTACTCCTCGTTCTGTCATCTGCTACCATTAGAACAGTCTAGAGCCATCCTCTTTGGAACCCCCTTTCAGGTAGTTGAAAGCAGCTATCAAATCCCCCCTCATTCTTCTCTTCTGCAGGCTAAACAATCCCAGCTCCCTCAGCCTCTCCTCGTAACTCATGTGTTCCAGTCCCCTAATCATTTTTGTTGCCCTTCGCTGGACTCTCTCTAATTTATCCACATCCTTCTTGAAGTGTGGGGCCCAAAACTGGACACAGTACTCCAGATGAGGCCTCACCAATGTCGAATAGAGGGGAACGATCACGTCCCTCGATCTGCTCACTATGCCCCTACTTATACATCCCAAAATGCCATTGGCCTTCTTGGCAACAAGGGCACACTGCTGACTCATATCCAGCTTCTCGTCCACTGTCACCCCTAGGTCCTTTTCCGCAGAACTGCTGCCTAGCCATTCGGTCCCTAGTCTGTAGCTGTGCATTGGGTTCTTCCGTCCTAAGTGCAGGACCCTGCACTTATCCTTATTGAACCTCATCAGATTTCTTTTGGCCCAATCCTCCAATTTGTCTAGGTCCTTCTGTATCCTATCCCTCCCCTCCAGCGTATCTACCACTCCTCCCAGTTTAGTATCATCCGCAAATGAGAATGGTGCTAGCTTTCACCCACTTTGCACTAGTATAAATGACCACACAAATTGCAGGGCAATAATGAACTGGGTGCATGTTTGGACCAGATCCTTAGCTGGTGTACATCAGTGTCGCTGCATTCCAGGCCGAGGATCTGGCCCGTTGTCGCGCCGTGAACCAAACAGAAGCCTGCTCCTTGGCGAAGTGCCTTTGGGTGACTCCCTCAGCTGCAGTCCCCGCTTTCATCTGCCTCTCTGTTCAGTCTGCAGTGCCCGCTCCGAACTTCGCCATGCCAGTGACGGTTCCGGTGACCAATCAAAACACGTTACAGTTCAGCAACCCCGGGGGCTCCTTGGTGACCCAGTCGCTGGTGACCTCTTCGTTGACGGATCCAAGACTCCTCTCACCACAGCAGCCGGCCCTGCAGAGAAACACTGTGTCACCGGGTTTGCCGCAGAGGCCAGCCAGCGCGGGTGAGTGTTTGGCCTAATGCTAGAATAGCCAAGAGGGGGCACCAGTGTCTTCATTCCTCTCACCCTTCACCCCTTCTATCTGATGTCTACAGCACCTTGCACAGTAGGGTCTGGTCCGTGACTCGGGCTCGTAAGCACTCCTGCCGTACAAGCAATAAATAATAATAATACTTGAACAGGTCCTGGATGCCCAGCAAAGATCCCATGCGATGCAAATGGCAGACGCAATTCCTGTATCACCCCTAGAGCTGGGCAAAGAACAGAGTTTTCAGTTGGTTGACAATTCCGAAAAATGGGGCATGGAAAAATCGATTTGGGTTGAACCACTTGTTTCGAGAGGAGAGCATTCCTTCCCTATCCGTTCAGAGGTCCCCCTGAGGCCACTGCCATCAGCCTTCCCTTTTGTGCGTCGCAGAAATCCTGTATTTGCATGGTGTGAAGTGCGTTTTTCGACGCATGTCAGAGGAGAACAGCGAGCCGCACTGTCGTTTCTAAATCAAAAGCAGTGGTAATGCAGCAGAGCATGTGGTTGCCTTGTGTGAGGTAAAGGCTGGCGCCCGCGGCTCCAAGGCATCTCTGAAACGGGGATGCAGAATCCTGTGTACTGTGTGTGTCTCTGTCCTAGAACATCAGGAATCTGAGGTCAGTTACACAAAGGCTGCTTCGCACCATGCTGTGTAGAAGGGCGTTTAAGTGAGTGTAACTGTAATGTATATCCCCTGGAAAGCCTCTTTACATTGCCAGCGCTGTGTAAAGGGACCTTAAGGTAAATTAAAATCTGGCCCTAATTATCTACCACTGGAAATTACTGGTTCAGAAAATCCTAGTGCAGATACTCATCTGAGGATGTGGGCTTCTGAGTTCTAAGCTCTGAGTGGGGATTCCAGTGTAGTGGTTAGACCAGGGGACTGGGAATCAGGACTCCTGGGTTCTCTTTCCCGCTCCGTGAAGGAAGCGTGGTCTAGTGATTAGAGCAGGGGACTGAGAATTAGGATGCCTGGGTTCTAGCTCCTGATTTTGGGAGGGGATGTGAGGGCTAGAGGTTAGAGCAGTGGCATGGAAATCTGGACTCCTGGGTTCCTTTCCCAGCTGTCTGGGTGGTTATAGTGAGGGAGAGAAAGTGCGGATTGCTGGAAGAAATAACAGTCTCGAGATGTGGTTGAACAATTCAAAATAGCAAATAACTTCACAAAACTCAAAATCTGGTTGCAAACTCAAAGGGGATAAAGGGCTTGATTCCCTGGGAATAGCAAACCTTCCTTGGGAAAGGCTTTCTAAGCCCTAAGTGAAAAGCAGCTCTTCCCATGGGAAAGGCTTTCTAAGCCCTAAGTGAAAAGCAGCTCTTCCCAACCGTTTATCTTCACATGACACCAGCACGGCAGGCTTCTCATCACGCCTCTCCAGCCGCCTTGGGAATGGTTTCCATTCGGTGCAAATGTTATGTGATAGATCCTCTTTCCAGTCCTGGAGCCGGGGGTGGATTCCCTTCTGCAGAGCGTGTGTCCTCAGGAAGGCTCGGAACAGCAAAGCCATGCTCTTTTCCAAGCCTAGTATTTTGGAATGAGCGTCTGTGGTGTATGCCCAAAGGGAATGTATCTGTGTAGATATTGTTTCCACGCCTGGAAGTGCTGTACATTTTACCCTGGATTTTCTCGATGGGAATGTAACACTGTTGATTTCCCCCCTTGCCTCACATGCAAATAGTCAACCACTGCTCAATGCACTGAGTTCTGAACTAACTTTGTCTCCACGTCTCTTGTTGCTTTCCAGGGGCGATGCTCGGGGGAGACTTGAACAACACCAACGGAGCTTGCCCAAGCCCAGTTGGTGAGTAAGAGTGCAGCCCTCCTCCTTTTTGGATGCACACTGACCTAGAGCACTGGACTGGGACTCAGAAAATCTGGGTTGTGTTGCCAGCCCTGCCACTGATGGGCTGGGTGACTGTAGGCATGTCAGTGCCCTGCTCTGTGCCTCAGTTTTCCTACCTGTAAAATGGGGATATTGATACTGCCCTCCTTTGTAAAGTGTCTTGAGCTCTATTGATGGAAAGAGCTAGGTGTTATTACTGGTAGTAAAGATCCCCTCAGACAGCTAAAGTCAGGCCTGAAGTGCAATTTCAAACACTACCAAGTCTTTTAGATGTGGATTTTCAGGTCAGTAAATTTTGTGTGACGGGATAGGCCTGTGGTTAAACTGCTAGTCTGGGGCGCAGGAGATCTGGGTTTGGTTCCTGACTCTGCTGTAGGGGATAATTTTTTCTCTCCCATCTCTGCCCCTTTTTATAGTTATGTCTCAGGGGAGACATAAGCCCAATAGAATTTAAATCTGAGTCAAACTTTGCTTAGTCTGGTGGAGGAGAACAGTAGCCGTGTGGCCAATGCAATTGGCCGAGACTTAGGAGAGCTACGTTCAATTCCTAGCTGTATCACGGACTCTGTCTGTGACCTTGGGCAAGACATTTAGGGCCTGCTTCTCACTTATGCTAAAGCCCCTATATACCACTCCAACATCATAAAGGCACCTTAAACTACAACATCCACTGCCAGAGTGGGATAAAGGGACTTTGTGTCAATGAGAACTGGGTCCTCTGTGTCAGTTCCTCATCTGTAAAATGGGGCTAATAATACTCCACTTGTCCCACGTTGTGTCTGTTTCAATGGTAAACTCTCCAGGGCAGGGACGGTTTCATATCAGGTGCATGTACAGCCCCTCACGCAGGGCAGCCCTGATCTCTGTTGGATTTCTAGGTGCTCCTGTGCTGTTACTTCCAATAATAATGAGCAAAATTAAGCAAAAAGAGCCCTAAATCCAAATGAAGTGGCTGGGTTTAATGAGAGTGGGTCACTTTGGTGCAGCATAGAGGGGATTCAATCAAGGGTGAGTTTGGCCCTGAATGCTTTGATGTAAAAGAGATTGGAATTATGCTCCCAAGTGGGATTCAGGATGCTGGCTTATGACTGAAAACCCTGGGCTCTGGATCCTACAGCCACATGGACCCTTTAGAACAGGGCCAAACTCCAACCCCACATCCACTGTGCTGATTCTGTGCTGCCCATCCCAGCCTGCCATGTAGTCCAGAATCCCTATCGCACCATGCACTAGGGGCCAGGGCCCAGCATGCCCGTATGCAGGGTTGGCTGTGGGGGCAGTTCACCATAAGGCAGCTTATGTCAGACAGCCCCTCCCTTGTCCCATTGTGGTGCCTTTAGGCCTCCAGTATATTGCCAGAGTGGGGAGCAGGGACCAGAGTCTGTCACCGGGTCTTCAGAGCATTCGAAATCTGGCTCTGAATTTTGTTGCTCGAGCTCATCTGCAAAGTCAGGGCTGCTGGGAAAGAGACACTAAGGACTGGCCTGTACCTCCAGGCAGAGACACGCTCTGTCACTTTCTGTCAAATCCCCCCCTGAAACTCCCCCACCTCCTCCCGGCCCCCACGTCAGCTGTTGTGAGCGGCTGTTCCAGCTTCTAGCTTGGCAGGTCCCATGAATGTCAGAATTGACGTCACTGAAGCATTCCTCTCATTCCTCCAGCCACTCCAGGAAATGGAAGCGGGGCCACAGGGAGCCCTGCGATTCTCTCAGCTCCTGTTGTTTTCAACCCAGGCCTCATTCCCAAGATCCCATCTAGCCCCTGTCCCCACCAAGCCCCAGACAAACTTCAGATGGCAGCATTTTGGGGCAGAGAAGTGGGGAAGGGGGGCACGCCCCTCGTATTCACTAGGTGGATGGGGCTCTATGGAGCTTCCAAAATCTTGGGGCCAGCCTTCAACTTCGGGTTCCACCTGAGGCAGTCGCTCCCCTCCTCCAGCCTTGTCCCCTTCACTAACGCCTCTCTTCTGTTCTCGCTCCCTCAGCTAGGGAGCTGAGCCTGGCAGGCACCCAGTCAGCACTGTGAGATCACCTGTGAGCTCGGGCGCATTCCTCCCTTTGACCACAGGCCTCGATCACATTGGGGATTCCTAACCAGTGTGGAGCTGACGTATTGGCTCCATACCCAGCATCCAGCCCCAGGCAGAGAGAGGGGATTAGGGGGCCTGGCCAGAGTGCGTTCCACTGCGGCTGTTCTCCGATCCCTAGGATTCACAGGGGGCAGATCGGGGGCACGGCCAGAGCGCACTGTGCTGTGGCTATTCTGTGCTCGTCAGGATCCATAGGGAGCAGAGCGTAGCAGTCATGAGGCTGCTCTAACTTACCTGCGGGGCTGGGCTGGCTGCAAACAATCTCAGGATACAGGTGCAGACACATCTTAAGGTGTCCCCCCGCCCAAGTACAGGAATAGAGTAACTGAAAATCAGGCCCCATGTTTTCAGCCCTCCCTTGCTTACACTGAGTCCTGCTTTGCAGAACAATGCAGGGCTAGAGGACAAGGGTCTTCGGGAGAGCAGTAATACACTGCAGGCCATCTGAAACCAGCACTGCTGCCTTTTAGCTCCCTCTCTCCATATCCCTCCCTTTTCCCTTAGATGGGGGATCAGAAACACAGGACAGTCTCTGGGTCGAAGTGCCGGACGTTTGTGGCCAATGGAGTGTCTGATCCGGCGGCGATGGATGTCGCTGGGAATCCAGCCAGGGCTTTTGAGGGGAACTGGGCCTGAGCAGAAGGCTCTGAGATCCTGCTTTTCTGCTGACTTGTTTTCCTCTGCCCCCCTGTGGTCAGCGGAGGGGACAGAGCAGAACAGCTGACATGTGTCACGTTGGTTTCTGAGAGCAGCATGTTTCCTGTGTGGCTTTAACACACCACATAAGGGTTCTGGGCTAGATGCTGGCAGATAGCCAGCAAACAGTAGCAGGCATCTGGCCAGCCGTGCTGCTGACCATGGGGGTGGGATGCAGAGGAGTTCAGATGTGTGAGGTTTTTCTTTAGCCGAACTTCAACCTGCAACCCACATCTCCCTCCTGTCCCTGCACTGCCCCTCCCAACCCCCTGAAAGACACAGCTCTGTGGATACAGGGGATTGCATAATTATTGCTATTCAGGGTTAGAACTCAGATCCTCCTGCTCCTACAGTGCAAGCCCATGCTGCTTGAATTCAAGGAGAATCCCTGCTAGCAATATAGGGCTTATGACACATGGTGAGAAGTTCTGATTCCATCCAGCAGAGGGAAGTGTTGCACATACACATCAGCCAGCCCATTGCAATATACACCCCCACATCTGCCCAGACAGTAAGGCAAAATGGTTACCATGGGAGCCATTTGTGCGTCTTATGTTAAGGAAGCCTTATCGCTGGAAAACATAAGTGTTTTGAACATTATTTGGCCTTGCCCCACTCTGCTTGCACATGGTCTTGCCTAAAACTCTATAGCGAGCGGCTGTGAAAAGAAATTTGCTGAAAGCGGTGAAGGTCGCACAGGAAATTTTATGCACCTCCATCATCAATTAATATAAAAGCTGGTGGCCTTGCAAACGAGATATGGTCTATGCAGAACACAGTGCACCCATGGACCAGGCTAATGTACTGATTTACCAACATGCTCGGGAGTTGCATTTGATGCAGGGGTGCACACACCCCTCCGAGCCCCTTTACAGGGCATAAGCCGGCCTCTAACTATTTGGGGTCAGGAGGAAAGCTTCCCCAAGGGCAAGCTATCCCATTGCTACCAGGGTTCTTGGTGCTTTCTTGGAAGCAGCGGGTACTGGCGACAGCAGTTGGTACTGGTTAGAGGCAGCATACTAGGCCAGATAGACCACGGGTCTGGCAATTTCTATGTTCCTTCAATACAGAGCAGATTCAACTCCCCCCAGAAGTTCCCTCCTCTATATTCTTGACTGGTATGCAGCCACTGTACCAGCTCTGACTGTACCCCCTTCCCAGGGCCAGCATAGGGGCATTGCCAAGGAAAGGGGCACAGCCAGAGTTCCTTTATATTCCAGTGATCTTCTGCTACGGGCCAAATTCTGGAGGCCGTTGGCAGCCAATGCAAATTAGAGCAGCCTTGAGGCTTCTCTAACTTACCTGGGGGGTTCCAAGCTAGGACAGAGCAGTCCTAGAAGCGGATGAGAGCAAAGAGGGCTCTACGACAGCTTTGCCATCACCCTCCTGCTCAGCTGTGTCAAACGCTCCTTAGCTGTAGCTGAGGATCGGGCCCAGTAATCTGACAACACATCGTCACGTTCTCGTTGGGCCTGATTCCCCTCTTCTGCGGAGCCTGAGCCAAAGCCCAGCTGTAGTCAGTGGGAGCATTTCCATCAGCTTCAGCAAAGTCAGACACGTATAGGGGTGTGGTGGCTTCATTGACTTCAGTGCAGTTCCAGATTTGTAGCTGTGCAGAGCACTGCATTTGTGCCCCAGGCCAATGTAAACGCCCACGCCCACCTCCCTCCAGTGTCAGGGCATTACCATTTGGAGTCAGAGATCTGGCAGGGTAATCAGTGGGTATAAATTACAATACAACTCACTTGAAGACCCCTGCACCAGAGCAATCATGAGGTGGGTCAGACCTCTGGGACGACTGACCAGTAGCCAGGTTGAGCAGGTTTTCACCCCAGCTGGGCGCACGTCATGTCTGAAACACCACTGCCACCAAGCCGCCCCCTGAAATGCAGACGTAGCGCGATGGTGAATCTGATTAATAATGCAATCAGTGAGCTATTTTCCCCAGTCTCATGTGTGATGAATATGAGGGCTGAATCTTGGTGATTGCTAAATGTCTCTCTATCTTAGGGGCCTATTCAAAAAATAATAATAATAATAATCTCATCAGAACAATAATCTCATCCAATTTATTCTTTTCCTGACATTCATCAAATCTTTTTATCATTTTTGTGTGTGTGCTTTGCAAGTAAAATTCTAAACTGGGATGCGGGGGCGGGGGCAGAGGAGGGCAGACCTCTGCGCTTCACGGGGATGTTGGGATAAGGGGCCCTGATTCTCAGTTACACTTTAAAGTCAGTGTGACTGTGATTTATGCCCTCTTTGAGGTCCCTTTATGCTGCCAAAATGGCTCAAAGAGGCCCATTATAAATGAGAATCAGGCCCTTATTTATTACTTGTATTGCAGTAATGTCTGGAGGCCCCAGTAAATGGGAGGAAGGGTGATCTGGTGGTTACGGTTCTAGACTGAGGCTCTAGAAAGGTGGGGTCAAGTCCCAGACATTGGTGCAACATTCGGCAAATCTTGGTGCCTCAGTTCCCCATCTCTAAAAAGGGGATAACAACTCTACTCTGCCTTATAGCAGAGTTGTATGACCAGGGTGTGCTGGCACTAGACTGGAATTCAGGAGAGCTGGCTTTAGATCTCAGCACTGCCACAGATTTAAAACTAAATCAGTTTCACCGGTTCCTTCTTTGCACAGTTGCCAGCATATCCGTCTCAGATGCTGAAGGCTCTGAGTGCGAGCCTCAGCCAGGGCAGCATTGTTACATAAGAAAGACATAGTTGGTAACAGGCTCTTAAATCTAGCAGAGAAAGGTCCAATATGATCCAAAGGTTGGAAGCTGAAGCCAGACAAATTCAGACTGGAAATAAAGTGCACAATTTTGGGTAATTAACCATTGGAATAGCTTGACCCAGGCTCACAGTGGATTCTCCATCCCTGGCAATTTTAAATCAGGATTGGCTCTTTTTCAAAAAGATGGAATTATTTTATGGAAGTTCTCTGGCCTGTGTTACACAGTAGGTCAGATTAGATCAGAGGTCCCCAAACTGTGGGGCGCGCCCCATGGAGGAGGGCAAGGAAGAACATTTGGGGTGGGGTGCGGCGGGGCTTGGGCCAGCCCCCATGGGGGGCGGGGAGGGAGCGCCACCCTGCCCTACTCTGGCCCTGCCCCCAGCCTCGGCATTGGTCCATTCCCAGACCCTCCCCCAGCCTTGGCCCCTGGCCACGGCTCCATTCCCGGCCCTGGACCCAGACTCGCCCCCAGCTGCGGCCCCATCTTTGGCCCACTTACCCCATCCGTGCCCCCCTCCCACCCAGCCATGGCCCTACTCCTGGCTCCTGGGGGGACGCACGGACAGGGATAAGGGGGGGGGTGCGACTGTGAAAAGTTTGGGGATCCTGGCCTAGATGATCACAACGATGCCTTCTGGCCTTGGAATCTATGACAACAAAAATTCATTATGGCTTGTGAGGTGCTCAGAGACTGTGGTGGTGGGACCAGCTGAGAACTAAGCTGGGCGCTGGGCATTTTTGTCAGACTGCCCCTGCCCCAAAGAGCTCCCAGTTCGAAGAGACCCAACTGACAAAGGCTGAGAGCAAGGAAGGATCACTGGGCCTGATTCTCTTTTACACGAAGGCTCCTTCGTGTCACTCTAGCAGTGCAAGGGGCCTCAAAATGGGCAGAAATTACTTTAAGCCCTCATTGCTCTGCCTGCATGGTGTAAAGGGGACTTCGTCTAAGTCAGAACCAAGCCCCTACTTTTTGGCTTTGCAGCCTTTGAACGCTCATTCTGCAGGGGTGTAAATGACTGCAAGATGTGCCAGGCCATGGAGAATGGGGTCCTAGGTTCAGGGCAATGGAGAACCGAGCCCTACATCTCCCCCTCTGACTGTTTCCGAAATGTCTTTGCTTCCCCCTCCGTGCAGGAAATGGGTATGTCAGTGCCAGAGCCTCGCCGGGTCTCCTCCCGGTCTCAAATGGCAACACCATGGGCAAGATCATCCCAGCAAAGTCACCGCCGCCACCCTCCCACGGCACGCAGCTCGCCGCCAACAGCCGCAAGCCGGACTTACGCGTGATCACCTCGCAGGGCGCAAAGGGTTTGATGCACCATTTGGTGAGTGCCGCTGAATTCTGAGGGGGCGGAGGGAGAATTCTCTCAGTGTCTGGGCTGCGGCAGCTCCCACTGGCAACCAGATTCCCCGGTCATAGCCCATCCGGCTGCAGCAAGCCGGGGTGTTACCACTGGCTTGTTACTCTAGACTGCTGCGGTATTTCCCAGTAACGGTGCATTATGCTGCAGCTGATGACAGAGGTGCCGCTGGATTATTACTATAAAGTACGCTTAGTATTCCCCAGTAATGACCCATAATGTTGCAGTTTACAATGGTGTTGCTATAGACTACTGCAGTGTTCCCCAGGAGTAGCCCATCACTTCCAGGTGCAGGGGACTGGACTAGGTGACCTCTCGAGGTCCCTTCCAGCCCGCCATTGCTAGGATTTGATGATTCTCAGATTGTAAAGGTGTATGACTGGCTCTGTTTTAGGGGCCCAACTCTCGTTTAGACTAGGACTGCTTTGCACCGGTCTGGTAACACAAAGAAGTTTTAAAGAAAGCGTAAATACAGTGGACCAGATTTTCAGTTATGCCCAGGCCCCTTTAAACCCCTCATGAAGTGACCACAAAGTGTAATTTATACCCATTTTCAGGCAGCTTCGGATGCCCATAGCGGTGTAAAATGGCCTCCGTGTAAATAAGAATCAAGCCCTGGCGGGAAAGGGATGTTCATTCTGGGCTTGTCTTCACTGCAAAGTAAACTCGAGTTATAACCTGAGCTTTGCCTCTCACTTGCTTCCTGTCCACACGCACAAACCCTTCACTCAAGCGTGGTGTTATTAACTCACGCTGACTGGCCCGTGAAGGGGTATAGATTACAGCTTGAGTTAACCCATCAGCTGCTAACACAACACTGTGGTTCTGTCCACACTGCAGATAAAAGGTGTGTGCTTAATGTGGATTAGCTAACTTGGGTTAAAATAGCAGTGAAGACACGGTAACTCCGCTTTTAAATTGGGTGAGAGCTCAAAGTCAACCCCAGACTCCCCCGGGGCTTTAACTCAAGCTGCTAACCCAAGTTAAGAACACCGCTTTTTTGCAATGTAGACCTGCCCTCTGTGCAGGAATTGCTAACTGGAGTGGTGTTAACTTGAGAGATAACTGGAGTTAACTCTGTAGTGAAGACACAGGTATTGAGTTAGCTAACTTGGTTTTAAAACCCCCTCACACCTGTCTTCTCAGCCTAGACAGTCCCAGTCAGAGCACTCAGAATATGTCTACACTACAGCTGCTATAACAGCAAAGGTACTGCATGGCAGCTGTGCTCCTGGAGTGTGACGTTTTTCACAGCCCTGAGTGACGCAGCTCGGTCAACCTACGTTTTTAGGTGTAGCCCAGGCCTTGCATGCTGAAAGTTACTTACTCACATGAGCGTATGCGGGACTGGGGCTGAAGAGAATCCGTCAAAACTGTCTATGCAAAAAATAAAATGAAGCAAAAGATTCCGATGCACAAAAAGCCAGGGAAAAGTTTTGAAAAAACAAAACAATATTGGCCAGTTCAAATCCAAAATAATAGATGGGGATCACACCAAGTTTCTGGGACCTTGTCTACACACACAAGTTGTCCCACGTTAACTATACCAGTCTCGTTAAAGGGATGCAGCATCCCCTAGTGTGGACACAGTTAGACTGGTGTAAAGATGCTTATACTTTCCTGTACAGGGGTTGAATGGGTCTAACCGTATTGGTAAAAGTCATACTTCTAAACTATATAATTATACCAGTGCACAAACTGTGTGTAGAGCATGCTTTAGCTATTTTGCAGAAGTTTCTCAGGAAGATAAATGCATTAGCTTCTTTATTTCTGCTCATGAGAACGCAGCAGTAAAGACTGAAGACTTGAATTCCCAGTTACACTAAGGCCTCTTTACACCATTATGGCAGTGTAAACGAGTCCTAAAGTGGATGTTGATATCATTTATGGCCACCTGAGGGCCCCTTTCTCCTGCCAGAGCTGGGTAAAGGGGCCTTAGTGTAAATGAGAATCAGACCTTTGGAGTTGGGCTTGGAAGCAGTTGGCGAAAGGCGTAAATGTAACTGTGCCTCTTGGCTTTATTTCTGTTCTTCTGCATTCAGACGGAGGACCACTTGGATCTGGTGAGTTGCCTTGTGCTGTGTGTGTTTCCTTAGAGTTGTGGGGTGACATGTTTTTTTGGTTCCTTTAACACTCCTTAAACACCAGGCCTGGAGGGATGGGGGCAGGGTTAAAGAAGGCACTGAACATCATGGGCCTAATTCTCATTTTCTCCAAGGCCCCCTTTACACTGCTCTGGTGGTGTAAAGGAGCCTTAAAGTCAGTGCAACTCTAATTCCCAGTCCTATGATTTTGTAGAGCCACCTAGAATTGGGCCCTAGGAATCTATATGTTAGGGAAAATCATTTTCTGCATGGCAAAGAAAAGCTGTAGGCCCGGGGTCCCCAGCTGGTTTAAAGTAGCACGGTTCCATTGAAGTCAAAGGGCCAACTCTCCAGCTGGTGTTAACATTGGTGTCACTCCAGTCTAGTCAATGGACCAGACTGGACTAATTGGTGTAGACTGGTGTCACTCCACTGGAGTCAATGGGCCAGATCCCCAGCTAGGATAAATCAGCATTGGCGTCACGGAGCCGTATCCTCAGCTGGTATAAATCAGCGTAGCTCCAGTAAGTTCAAAAGAGCTACGCTGATTTACACCACTTGGGGATCTGGCCTAACGCCGTTACAAGAGAAGCAGGAAATAAATCAAGTTCTTCAAATATTAAAAACTCTTAAAAAACAAAACAAAACAATACCCCAAAACCCAAAACCGGAAAGTGAAATCAGAATTCACCGTCCCACAAGTTCATTCACAAGAACTAATTTCTGCAGAGGAACACGGCTTCTCATTATTTTTACAGCTTTTCCTGCCAGCAAAGTGAGTGCTGTCACCTTGTTTGTGGCAATGATCCCATCTCGTCCTGATGCTATTCTGGTGCAGTGCGGACGGGTAACAGGGTCGTGGCAGTCAGGGAAGGTTGTAATAGCCATACATTGTAGTGCTACATGGCAATGGATGGCAGAGCGCTGATGGAAAGGTCTCCGGAGGCAAGTTGCAGGTAGACACGGGCAGGTGCCTTTCCCATTCTGCTAACAAGCAGTGTGGCCTAGTAGGTAAAGTACTGGATGGGGACTCAGCAGATGTACGTTCTACTCCTGGCTCTGCTGCTGGGTGACCTTAGGCAAGACATGTCCCTGTTCTATGTCTCAGTTTCTCCTGCTGTAAAATGGGGATCACGGTAAGGACCTCCTTGGTAAAGCACTTTGAGATCGGCTGATGAAAAGTGCTGTTTAAGAGCTAGGCAGTATTATTACTGTATAAACCCATCCCATTTAGTGCAAACAATCCCCTGGCTCTGTTAACACGAAGGTCAGCTCAAACCTTCTCCTCCTGCTTGGCTCCCTCCATTTTGCTCAGCCCACACCCCGGGTCCTCCTCCTATAAACCACCTTTCCCACCTCCTTTATACAGAGGCATGGCAATGAGTCACCTGCCTCTCAGTGAGTCAGCAGAGTCCTCTTAACTCTTTGCCAGCAGGATCAACCCCAGATAACAGAGTGGGCGTGTTTCTGGCAGCTTCTAAACCATAAACCATGGAGAGCACCACATGAGGGTTCACAAACTATTTAAAGGGATATTACCTTATTCCTATACACAACATTGAGACTTTTAATTTGAAGTGTGGAGCAATCCCCATCCACCACAACTTCAGTGACAAGAGATTTCACCTGGGAGCATGTATGCATGATGTTGTAATGATCTTGAATGGAAGTGTGGTTCTCAGAACAGTTAATGATCTTGCAGGGCTGTCAAAATAACCAGGGGGAGTGGAGAGCATTAAAATGCTGACAACATTTGCCTGTATGGTGAGGCATTAAAACTTTGTTAATTATAACAACCTGGCATGGCGTGAAATCACAGCGAGTCCTAAGTTGCTGACTTGATTGCAGTGTTGGGGCCTGATTGTCATTTACACTTACAACTATTTTAAGGCCCCTTTACCCTGCCAGAGTGGTGGCAAAGGGCCGCAGGCCCCTGTGTGCTTTACAATTTTATCATCTTGCTATTGGTGTAACGCTCCCGTCAACCCTGCAGAACGGAAGAAGCTGCCTCTCTGCGTTTGCTCTTTATGGGAGTTGTTTTTCACATTGTTTGGGGGGAAAGCTGTTTGTTTGGCTTCGTCCTGAGCCTTCCCGGAATCTTCAGAGTCAGGGAATAGGAGCAGCACTTGTTCCGTACAGGCTCAAATTCACTCCTGTGCAGAGGGTCTGCAGAAAATCTAAAGGCCTTGTCTACATTGGAGGAATTGACCGGAATAGCTATTGTGCAATAAACTGTTCTACAAAAACTATTCCAGAAGAACTCTTGTGTGGACACTTGTATTCTGGAATAGCTATAGTGCTTTAGGGTTTGTCTACACGCTAGATTTACTCCAGATTCAGGTAATTTCAAACAGAATACCTATTCTTGAGTAACTCCATGTGTGGGCCAACTTCCAAAGCGGATGAAGCTGATTAAGGCACTCTTATTCTAGAATAAGAGCCTTTATACATGGAGTTATTCCTGAATAACTGTTCCAGAATAACCCCAGGTGTAGACAAGCCCTGAAATTTCCATCCTACTTTTTTCTGAGATAACTTCTCCGTGTAGACATACCCTTACAAATTCCACGTAAATCCTAGTCTGAGAACTAAGGGCCTGATTCTCTCTTGCCCTTTACCTTGGGCAAAGTAAATTCAAAATACCACCAATCTTTGCACTTGTTTTGCGCTGGTGTGACTCAAAAGGGGCCTGATTCCCATTTACTCTAAGGTTCCTTTACACTGCTCCGGTTATGTAAAGGGACCTTAAAGTGAGAGTGACACCCTTTCTAGTGTAGGCAAGGCCTTAGTGTAAATGTAAATCAGGCTCCATGTGCAAGGCAGTGGGGGAACCGGGCCCTTGAAATGAGACTGAAGTGGTGCATGGTCCTTTGGCTGGTGGATCCCAGCTCTGATTTCCTTTCCCCTTGCCTAGGAGCTCAGGTAAGGTCTGTACATTGGCTTCTCAGGAGCCAGAGAAGACAAAAAATGGCTTTTGGAAGGTCAGGGTCAGAGCAGCACACTGCTCCCAATCCCAGAAGGTAATCGTCATCTTGGCTTGTTACCATGGGCTGGCTGGACCCCAAACTAAATCCTAGCCACCACTAAGGCATTTGTCTTAAATACTCTTAACCCATGGGGCAGTGGTCACAGCCCGGGCTATCGCTGGCTGCAGGATGCGTGCCTGGGAAACCAGTTTCTCCAGCCTTAAGGTTTAGTCATTATAGCCCGTATAATTGTCTGCTCTTGGTTATTTGGAGCCGATCAGTTCACCGACCTGCCGCTTTGCAAAGAGCTGGCTTCTGAAACTGGTGCGTCAGGGTGCTGCCAGGCTAAGGAGATGCTGACTGACTGTTTGGTGCCTTTAAATGCTAAGGTGTGGTGGAGTGGGGAGGCTCGGGAGTTGCATCAGTCTTGAGCATGAATCCTGTCTGAATCTGTCTCTGTCTAGAGGCCTATAGCACCCGTCTCGTCGTCTCTGAACTCTTCCTGGGTAAATCAGATCCGCACAGCTGAGGTCTCCTGGCGGCATCTTCATGTGCCGTTTTCTGACATGGTTCCCTTGTTCCTTGTCGTTCGCAAGGCAGCTGTTGCCCTGAACTCCCATTACCGGGCGCAGACAGCAACTCGCTGTCTCAACCGGGGCCCTAAATGACCCAGCGGGCATCGTGCCATGCCAAGCACGGTCTAAGCTGGATTCTGTTTCGGGCTTCACTGGGTTACATGTGCCCAGGTGCCACGGATTAGAGTCAAGCCTCTTGAGTCTGATTTAAATCAGATTAGCATAGGCAGCCCGGATTATCTGATTTGCAAACAGGGCCTAATCTTGCCCTCAGATCCACCCAAATAACTGGGGGGAGGGGTTAAGTGCTGATATCCCAGGGCAGCATGTTTGGGGCCTCAGTGGGCCTCGGGCCACTCTTAAAATGGGGGCATGTTTATGACTGAGGCCCACAAATCTCACTCGGGGCCCCATCCAGCACTGCCAAGAGATGTACCCTCGATTCCCAGGGAAGTCCTGGGGGCTGATTCTCAGGCACGTTCGATACAGGGATGGAGGAAGTTAAGATAGCTTTAAGTCATCTTTGTACTTCTCGGGCCTGATCCTCAATTACACCAGAGTCCCTTCAGACTGTTCTGTAACATAAAGGGTCCTTGAACTGCGTATAAATTACCTTGGACAAGTCAAAGTCTCTCCGTGCCTCAGTTTCCACATCTGTACAATGATAGCACTGCCTTACTTCACAAGGGGGGTTGTGAGGACAAAATGCGTTAAAGATGTAGCATGCTCACGTATGGAGGGAGGGGAGCCAGATAATTACTTAAGATAAATAGTCTTTCCAGCCCCTGGTGTGTAAATTAGAGCAACCTCAGGGCATTTTTCTTAAGGGTAAAATTCACCACTGTGCAGAGTGCCAGCACGAGACCTATGCAAGCCAGAAAAATAGGATTTAAGTGGGACATAAGTGGCACATAGGAGACCTCTCTGCGGGGTGAATGTCCCTGAAAGCACTGCTACAGCCTCCCCTGCTGGTTTGTTTAAAAAACAACCATCTCTTTGAACCAATTCGCTTTGGCTGGTTTACTTAAGGCAAGTTACATGGAACGATATTCTCCTTTAAACGAAGGCCTCTTTTCCCTGCTCTGGCAGGGAAGTGGCACCTTAGTCCCATGGAGAATCAGGCCCGGGGTATTTTAAACATCAGAAGGAAAAGAATAAAATAAAACCCAGCGTAAAATGATCCAGCTACCGGAGGTCATACGGGTCCTGAGAGCTGGTAACTGATGGATTTGAAAGTGGTCTGGTGTTTTCGTCTGCTGTGTACAGGAATTTCCCAAGTGGCTCAGACCAGCGCTCCGTCTAGCCTACTGCTCTGTCTCGAACAGTGCCCAGGGGTAGGTGCCAGGAGCCCTGCAGTCGGCGGTTACAGACGAGATTTTGGAAAGCTAACCCACCGGTGGTTTAAATGCATCCAGTTTATAATTCCTTCTCCATTTGCTTCCCCAGCAGAATGCACAGAGGTTAGGAGTCTCCCAAGCAACTCATTCTTTAACCACGCCAGTCGTTTCGGTGGCCACTCCAAGTTTGTTGACCCAGGGCCTGCCTTTCTCTGCCATGCCCACAGCATACAACACAGGTAAGTGCGACGGACATGAAATGATGGTGTTGATTGGAACCGCTGCCAGGATGTTGCTGACTTTTCCCACACAATGCATAACATCTTGTGGAACTCATTGCCACAAGATATTGCTGAGGATAAGAGTGTAGCAGTATTTTTTATTTTTAAAGAGTGGTCATTTATATGGATAATGAGAACATCCACTGTTACATCAGTAAGGATTTTAAGGCCATGATTCTCATTTACACTAAGGCCTCATTACTCCATTGTGGCAATCTAAAGGTGCCTTGAAGTGGGTGCTAATGGCATTTACATCCACTTCATGGCCCTTTTATGCTTCCAATGCAGTGTAAAGAAGACTTAGTGCAAATGAGCATCCAGACCAAAACCTAGCATCCTTCTGGGCATAAGCCAGATGCTAACTGATTGGGGCTAGGAAGAAAGAGAGAGGAAGGTTATGGAACAACTGTCCCCAGAAAAGGCACTGTGTCTCTGGAACCTGTCCCACACCCGTGCAGAATGGAAGGTTTATTGGTTTCTTGTATAACACAGTTTGGCACCTGCTCAGAGAATATCTTATAAAAATGCTGTATGAAGCTGTTTGTCTGGAAGAGCCTGGAGTAGGCAGGTGGGGAACACCCTCTTATAATTAATAGGTGTAGCCCAGCAGATGTTTGCTTACAGGCAAGTAGAAGTCTCCTCTCCTTGCATGGATTTCAAGCTTGCTCAGAGTGTCCAGTGCAAGGCTAGATTATGAATGCAGCACAGGCTTGAGCTAACCCCTCTGCATAGGGGTCAGAGGGGAGAAGTGTTCAAATGTGGCTGCCTGAATATTTGGCTAAAAGGCTTGGTATGAGAGCTGCTATTGTGATGACCATTGCTTATATTACTGTGAGGTCCCGCTGCCCCAGATGAGACCAGGGCCCCTTTGTGCTGGGGGCTGCATGCACACACACACAGAGGGACAGTCTCTTCCCCCAAAAATCTTCCAGCTAAGAGGTCTCGTCTTTCTGCCCCTCTTTGACGATGCAGAATTTTTCTCTGCTATGCATATGCTAGCGGATGAGCCAATCTGCTGCTCTTAAATAATAACCATTTCCAAAATGAATTAAACTAAACCCAGTTAAGCCTACCTGAATTCTGAATGAGAGCATCCACACGGGGGTTTAATCCGGTTTAACTAATCCACTTTCAATTCACACCTTTTGGTAAAGAGATTAATTTTCCTGAGTATCCCCCTGTACACAAACCCCAGTTAGGGTTATTTGGAATTTGAACTGCCCTGGGCTTTAGATGGGCTTGGGGTGAGCATCCTCCATCCAGGAGAAGTGTATAACCCGCTCAGCCGTGTGTATTATATGTCCCCCTCTATGTCTGCTCTGCGGAGCCTACCAAATTAGCTCAAACTATAGCAATGCACATTTCTACACATGGGAAAATCTGCCGTTCGATCCCCAAACGTTGGCCAAAGCTGGTGGCTGTCAAGCCCAGTGGCTGTAAAGTGCTACCAAGCCTGAACGGTTCACAACTGGTGGAAATGACTGAGCCAGGCACAGAGTCGCAGAGAATCAAGGGTGGGACTTTCTGGTGGGTGTGCCGCAAATCGGAATAAGTAACTTTGGCGGCCTTTCAGCTCCCCTTCAGCCATCTCTTTGCGACGTGCTGCTGCAGGCAGGTTTGTCGCTGCAGGGGTGGGGAAGACTGAAATCGGAAACGCCCAACGTGAGAGGTGGGGTGCGGTGGCTGATGAGTTGTGCACAGGAATTCTGGTTCTATTGTGTGTGAATCAAATACTGAGACAATACAGCAGAACCGCCTTTGATCAAAGGTCAGTTCTTTTAGCAGAAAACAATTCTCTGGCGACGCAGCCTGGCCAGCTCTCCTGATTTTACAGCACGTTTTATGATATTTAGTCTTTTTCTGAAAGTTCCTGCTCCTGGAGTCATGTGATTATATGAAATGTCATCTCGTTTTTTAATTACATTTCTAGCCCTCATGATTGCTGAGAAGAGCTGGAAAACATGACTCCTGAATGCTCAAAAAACAGATTTTTAAGCCAGTCGTGTGGTTTTTCAGGGATATGATTCATGCTGTTTACGCACCTGGGATTGGCAAAACTGTTATTGTCTCTTTGGGATTGAGGTGCACAACACAGATCTCTAGCCTCTGTGAGGTTACAAGAATTGTATATATAAAAAATACTTACATCCGCTAATGTGGTGGAGTAAAGAAGCCTTAATGTAAAGTAAGGCCCAGTATCTCTCTGTGTGTAGTTACTAAACCTATGCGCACACAAAAATTGTCACTAGAAATTTGCCGTTCCCCCACCCTCCTGCCCAACAATGCATTTTTTAGGGCACCAAAACGATTTGTGAATTTGGATCAAATTTGCAAAATAGTTTCAGCCAAACCCCGCACCTCATTCTCCTCCCCACTCCCCCAAATCCCTGAACGCTAATCTCCAAAATGTCAAAATTTTTTGCTTAGAAAGTATCAAACCAGATTATTTTGACATTTAATTTCAGATTGACTCTTTTGAAACAAAATGCCAAATTGAATTAATGTTCAAAATGTTTGGTTTGACCTGAGTGAAACCATTTTGGTTTTTCATTTTGTTCGGAACACTGAAAAAATTCCATTTTGGTTCAAAACAAATTGGGATTTTTTATGTTTTAATTTTTTTGGTTTGGCCACCAAATTAAAAAAAACAACAACAACAAAAAAACAAAGAAAGAAACAAAACCAAAAAATAAAAATTAAAATTAACGCCCCCACCCAACCCAGAACTAAAAGCAACCAATTTTTTGCTCACCTCTAGTAGTTAGTATATATGAATGCCATCCACTGGCATATGAGAATAGGGTGTGTAATATTGTTCATAAGTTTATAAGTTTATTGATATTTGATAAAGTTGTTGGCTCATTGCAAGATTGTTTCCTAGTTGAGCAGCTATTAAGACAAGCTGTTGACAGCCCAAGGCCTTGTCTACATGAGAAAGTTGCCCCCAAACTAACTAAAGTTGGTTTCAAAACCAGTTTAATGAAATCAGTGCAAATACTCTTATTTCAATGTAAGAAAGCGGTTTAATTCAGTTGACTTGATCCGTAAGCGACTTAAGGGAAACTGAAATGAGCCGGGTTGAAACCAAAATAAGAGCATCCACACAGACATCTAGAGCGGGAGCAACTTCCTGGGGTAGACAAGTTCTGATTCCAGTCACTTCCCCTCTCCGTGCATGGCAGAGGCATGACAGGTACAGCTGCCTCAGCTTCCCCTTTAAGACTTCCCCTGAAGGAGGCCAAACAGTCTTCGTTCCAATAGTCCTTGTAAGAGCCCCCAAAGCCCTCTCTGCTGGGAGCCAGTGGGAAGCAGGTTAGCTCCTCCAATATACCCCTGCCTTCAGCTTTCTCTGACCCTTAGCTCCGGCTTAGAGCCAGCAGGCTGCCCTCTCTGCCTTCTCCTCCTCCTGCCTTCGGCATGGACAGCACCTAGCACATTGGGGCCTCTGGCTGCTACCATGGTATAAATAAGGAGATGACAAGATCTTTGAAAGGCTGAGGCTGGAGGGAGAGGAGGGGGCTGCTGGGCACTGGAAGGTGGAGTGGAGCAGATTTGGAAGCAAAGATAGCTTGTATCTGATTATGCAGTATGATCACATGGAGTATGTTAAAGTGATGGCCTTGCTGATGTGTCAGCTAACTCAATTAAACAGCGGCAAGATCAATGTCTGCAGCCGCTTTTATCATGCCAGGCATCTCAAGGAGCTTTCATAACAAAATAAGACGCTGATCAAACATAAAAGGTTGATTATTCCATTAAGAAGCAGGTGTGTCTTTGGTTCAGATGTAAACTAATTCTAATCAATGGAACGTACCAGTCCCTGCTTGGTGCACTGTACAGAGTGTAATTAACTGGGTAAGCGTATGCATGTGTACACCACTGCCCCGTACTTCTGTGTGTGGGTCTACACTAGTGCCCTATACTGGGTGGAATCGGTGTGCATTTTTTGTGTTTATAGTCTACTATTCTGTACTGGATATAGTGTGTGTGTGTGTGTGTGTGTGTGTGTGGTTTATATACACTACCCTCTACTGGATGGAATCAGCGTGTGTGTGTTTCTACACCACTTCCATGTACTGGATATAATCCCTTTGTGTGTGCATGAGCTACTGCAGTCTCTTGGATGGAATCAGAGATGTTGTTTGTGTATCATGAGCCCTGTAGGGCACACACTGAATGGTGATTCTCCTTTAGCTCGAGCGGAAGGGGTCTGTGATTTTGGACTAGGAGGATATGCGTTCTATCCCCAGTTTTGCTGGGCTGTTCCAAGCAGCCATTGTGCCTGTCACGGTGACGCCCGCGAGGTCCCTGAGCTGCTTACAGATTTGTGACAACGTGGAGAAGGATTTGCTCTCCACCCTCTTCCGTAGCAGGCGCCAAGCCCAGGACTCGGTGTGGAGACCGACTTTGCCACGGCGGCGATGAAGGGATTGCTTCTGAAGAGCATGTCTTCTGTTTCAGATTATCCGCTGACCAGTGCAGAGTTACCCTCGCTCCCGGCGTTCAGCTCACCCAGCGGGTTGTCGCTTGGCAACATCTCGGCCTGGCAACAGCAACATCAGCAGCAACATCAGCAGCAGCAGCAGCAGCAGCAGCATCTTGTTCCTGTATCACTAAGCAACTTAATGTAAGGGAAATGGAGGAGGGCCTCCGCTGAGCAGCGGCTCATCGTTGCATGGTTCCATAGGGGCTTAAGGCCAGAAGGGGTCATTAGACCATCCAGTCTGTCCCCCAGATACCCCTCTATCGAGCCCTGTGCCTTGGCTTAGACGAAAGCATTTCAGTCCTCAGTGAATTTGTTTCCTCGAACACACACGGCAGCTGTGTATTTTGATAGCAGTTATTCCTGATTTGGGGAGGCAGTTTTGCCTCCCGGTTGGAGCAAAGGGGATGTGGAGCCAGGGCTCCTGGGTTCCATGCCTGGCTCTGCCATGGATTCCCAAGTCACTGCCTTGCTCTGTACCTCAGTTTCCCCAGTTGTAAAATGAGGAGAATGGTACTGATCTACCTCACAGGGCCTTAATTTAGGTGTTTTGAGATTCTGGTCCAGACATGTCTCTAGAAGGACACATTCTTATTTCTTTCATGTTTGAGATGGTTGACATTTTGGTGAAAAATCAAAAACTCACCTATTTCTATTCTGCTGGGGTGCCTCATGGGAGCTGTAGTACAGGTGCCTGATGCTCCCATTTTCTCTAGCTGGGCTTCCTCAACAGACTACATTTCCCATGATGCACCATGGTTCCCCCCCCCCCCCGTGAGGGGAGGCGGTTGCATCATGGGAGTCCCTGGCATGGTGCATCATGGGAGATGTAGTCAAGAGCAGGGACAGGAGGAACCTGAGCTGCGGCTCCGATGTGGCCCCACAGAAGCTATGTGAATCGAAATATTTCAGTGTTTGGGCTGAAATAAGTGGTTCGTTTTTTTGATGAAAATTGAAGTTTTCTGTGGAAAGCGGACACTTTTCGGCCGAAAAAATTCATTTAGTAGAAAACCTGATTTTTCCATCGAAAACCTGCCCTAGCTCTCTTGAGTGTCATCACTAGAGGAAAGCAAAATATTCAAAGCGAAATGTGAAATTCCCGACCAGTTCAGAACCTGTCGGACCTGCTGCCTGAAGCTGCTGTTGAGTAATAATACGGTGCAGTTACACATTCCACTGTAGGCTACAGACACCACTGTCGTTAAGATGGGCCAGTGACATGCCTCCAGGTTTTAGCAGTAGCGAGACTGATCTACACATTGTGGGTGGCCCATACCATATCCCTGTAACGAACCAAACCAAAACAGCCACAAGCTTTGAGGAATTCTGTATCTGAACTCTGTTATTAATGCCAGAGGCTTCATTTGCTATGGGGACATGGGATGCAGTTGCCTCCCCCCAGACCTACCCCCTTTGCGGGGTCTCAGAGCCCAGGCTCCAGCCCGAGCCCAAACATCTACACTGCAATTTTATAGCCCCGCAGCCCATGCCCCACGAGCCTGAGTCAGTTGACTTGGGTCAACCATGCCCATGCCACGGGTCTTTTATTGTGTAGACATACCCTTATTGAGAGATAGTTCCTGCCCCAAATATCTTGCAGTCTAAATAGGCAAAGGGGGAATTATTATCCTCATTCCCAAATGGGAAATTGAATCCCAGAAAGAATAAGGGTTTGTCTACATGCAGACACTGACCCAAACAGCTTTTGTTCAATATCTCCCCTTGTGGACACTTTATTCTGGACTAAATAGGGTGCTTCCCAAGCAGAGTAATTATTCTGCAATAGAGTGTCCACACAGGGAGCAACTTCAGTCAGTTTCCCCATGCAGACAAGCCCTAAGGGTATCTGAGAGTGAACTTCCCAGCTGGGGTCCACAGACTCAGGCTGGTGCGCTAAGGAAAGCTGTGTGGATGTTGCGACTCGGGTTCTCAAGCCCAGGAGGGGGTGGGCTTGAGACCCCGAGTGATAACCTCAAAGCAACATCTTGCTCCCAGGTGCAGGGCAGATATAGCCACAGTGGCTGGCCACAGGTCACACAACACACAGGTGGTGGAGGCAGGAATTGGACCCAGGTTGCCGGAATCCTAGCCTGGGGGATTGTGGGGGAGCCAAAGGCAGGCTGCCAGGTTTGATCCACCAAGCGCCGCGCATTCAGGCCAAGCTGTCAGTGGAATGAGCAGGAGCCTTGTCTGTGCAGGGGTGTGTGACCTTTCTCCGTCCTTGGCCTGAGCTGAGCGGGGCAGAGTGTTCTGCTGGGTTGTCTGCTGGGAAGGTGCATTCACTCCAGACAGGGACAGTTTGTTTGTTCACATTATATGGAATCTGGACGGGCCTGATCCTCAGTCCCCAATCCGGACGGGTTCCTGCTCTTCTCCCCTCAAAACACTTTTCATTGCTACCGGCCCCAATAGCTGCCCGCGGCAGGACCGAAATACACACTGCGGGGAGGGGGACAGCTCCTCGGCAGGTGCAAATCGGCAGCAATGGAGCCTCCCCAGCTGAAGATTTGGCCCAGTTGCTGTAACGGAATCGCATTGCTTGGGTGGCCACTGCACTGAAGTCTCTAGCGTGGCAGGGAGCAGGGAAGGGGATCAGAGTGTATTCGGATTACAGGCACAGAGGACAATGCTGCAGTCAGCCGGCTACTGGGTGTGTGCCCGCCACTGCCATCTACTGGCTGGAATCAGAAGGGCGTGTTATAGGCCCGAGGCTCAGTCGTGTAAAGCTGGTCACTTCATATGATGACGATGGTTTACTTGTATTGCCTTAGTGCAGAGGTGGGCAAACTGCGTGTGGCCCGCGGGACCCTCCTGACCGGCCCCTGAGCTCCTGGCCCGGGATGCTCGCCCCCGGCCTCTCCCCTGCTGTTCCCCCTCCCCCGCAGCCTCAGCGCGCCTGTGCAATGTGCTGGGCAGCGGGGCTGCGAGCTCTTGCCGGGCAGCGCAGTTGCAGAACCACGGCCTGACCCGGTGCTCTGGGTGGCGCGGTTGGGGGGGCAGGGAGCAGGGGGCGCTGGATAGAGGGCAGGGGAGTTGGGGGGTGCTGGTCAGGTGTCGGGGGTGTGGATAGGGGTCGGGGTGGTCAGAGGGCAGGGAACAGGGGGGGTTGGACGGGGCAGGGGTCCCAGGGGGGCAGTCAGGAAGGAGAGGGGGGTTGGATGGGGTGGCAGGGGGCAGTCAGGGGCAGAGGTTCCCGGGGCAGTCAGGGAGCAGGGGGTAGTGGATGGGGTAGGAGTCTCGGGGGAGCCGTAAGGGGACGGGGCGGGGTTGGATGGGGCAGAAGTCCCGGGGGAGCCGTCAGGGGGAGAGAAGCAGGGGGTTCGGATAGGAGGCGGGAGCCGGGCCACACCTGGCTGTTTGGGGAGACACAGCCTTCCCTAACCAGCCCTCCATACAATTTTGGAAACCCGATGTGGCCCTCAGGCCAAAAAGTTTGCCTGCCCCTGCCATAGTGCCTAGGTGCCCTATTCATGGACCAGCAGCACTCCAGTGTGCTAGGCACTGTACAAACACAGAACTGTGCTTAGAGGACCTAACCAAGATCCCCCCGCATTGTGCTAGGGGCTGCAACAGACATTTAGGGGGCTTGTCTACACGCAGGGGCGCCACTGTAGTGCGTCCCTGAAGACACTACCTATAACGATGGGAGGGGTTCTCCCGTCAGTGTGGCAATCCGCCTCCCCGAGAGGCAGTAGCTAGGCTGACGGGAGAATTCTAGTGCTGTCTCTATTGGGGGTCTGTACTGGGTCACTCATGGGGTTGGCTTTTTCACACCCCTGAGCGACGTAGTTTGCCAAGCTAATTTCCTTGTATAGACCAAGCCATAGTAAGAGCCCGTCTTTTCTCCAAAGAGCTGACAGCCTAATAGAACTGGCTAGAAAATGGTTTATCCCGGTGAAAATTTTTAATTCATATTTTGTCTTTTTCAACTAACGTTTTCTGTCGTGTTATTGTAGCCGGGTTGGTCCCAGGATATGAAAGAGACGAGGTGGGTGGGGCAGTATCTTTTATTGGACCCACTTCCCTTCGTGAAAGAGACGAGCTTCGAGCTACACGGCTTAGAGTCTAATTAGACAAGACAAACAAAGGCTGGGATGGGAAAGAGATCCCCAGAGAGAGGAAGTGACAGGCTCAGGGTCACGTCGGCCGGCAGCATGGCCGAGAGCAGAGTGCACCTCTCCTGGTTCCCCGTCTAGTGCATTCTCCATGACTGTATGCCCTTTCCGAGCCCACTAGCAGCAGCAAGCTATTCCGTCGGCAATAGCTATGTAGCAAGGAGTAGCATCTTTCTGGCCCCAGAACAATCAAACCATCCATGGCAGCTGGCCAGTTACAGAAGCACCCGAGGATTTTTAATTCCAGGCAACCCCGATGACTCCCTCATGCCACAGACGCCCTTCGCCCTTCGAGGAAGCACATTTGATGCTGTGCTGTGATTGCTAACACAGCGGGTTTCACTGCTGAACATTAGGGGCCAGGTTCTCATGAGGGAGCAGCATAAAGGGGCCTTAATGGGGCTGGAGGATGCCAGGTCTTGTGCTAAGGCATTAGGCTGGGCTTTAAGAGACTTGGGTTCTCACCCTGAGTCTGCCCCAGATCTCGGTGATTTGGGGGCAAGTTATTTCCTTTCTCCCTGTCTCAGCTTCAACTGTATAGACTGATAATATTAAACTGCACTGAGATGGATGGATGATAAGATCTCTGAATTTCTATGATAGAAAAGACCTTTACAAATGTTAATTATCAATATTTCTCTCTTCCCCTTTCTCCATCTTTCTTTTTCACCTTCTCTGCATCTGTCTCTTATTCCTTCACTATCCCACATGTGCACTCCTCTACGTTTTCTCCCCCTCGTCTTCCCCTCCCTTCCCCCATTCCCTTCTTTTCTCCTGTCTCCCCTTTCCCTCTCTCCACTCCCCATCCCTCCATTGCCACCCGCAGACAAGGGGGTCACTTATCTCACACCACCACGTTGACTGTCAACACCAACCCCAACATCAGCATCAAGTCGGAGCCTGTCTCGCCCAACCGGGAACGTAACACTGCCACGCCACTCAGCTCCTTCCCGCACCAGAGCCGGCACGAGCCGACGGGGCGTTCTCCCGTCGACAGCCTCAGCAGCAACGCCAGCTCCTATGAAGGCAACGAGCGGGATGACCCCGCCAGAGCCGATTTCGGCTCGTCCCTCGGCCTCCTGAGACCCACGACCGAGGCCGAGGGAGAGAGCCCGTCCGTAAAGCGCGTGCGGCTGGACACCTGGGTAACATAACCAGTCCCAACTCTCTTCGAGCTACTTTCTGCTCATGTCCGGGTGGGGCCGGGCAGATGTGTGTGTTGGGGGGGTGGGTGTGGGGTGGGATTGTTACCAGTGGCAGGGTTGGGAGGGGGGAAAAGGGAGGGCCGGGGTGGAGCTAACTGGGTTTGGGTTGGGGGCGGGGACATATTATAAACTGCCTGAGAAATAGCTTTAGGATTTTGTAGGCATTCATTCTAGTGCAGCAGGCAACGTTTGCAATACGTAAGGCACTCCATGGCTGAGAGCAGCTTAGAATCAAGAATAAGGGGGAGTGGGGGGGGAAGGAACGTGTCACCAAAAAAAAAATCAATCACTTATCCCAGTGAGCAAGTGTCGGGCGTGCGTGCTAGGTTGTTGTCGATAAAATTCACCCACTGGCGATTGGAAGTCGGGGAGGGCTCGAGATGCGTGCCCAGTTTGTAAGGTTGGACCTAATTGTGAGAGAAGAGTGCCTTTGATGAGAAGGGTTCTGAAGGAACTGCACCTAAGACTTCTATTTGGATGCAGAGAATTTCTTATGCACACACATCCCTATGCACATTTTAGTTCCAGATTCACAAGGCTCTGTGCACTCTAAACTCCCACTGATGTGCAAGCCCTTTGCAGCCAAATTCAAATACAGCTGAGATTTTTTTGCACCCCATGCTCCCAGTCAGAGGGTAACCGTGACTGCCATGCAGAATGGCCAGTGTGAGGTATATGCACTGCTTTAAGTTCCACTCAAAAACATAGCACTTCAGTGAGACTTACATGATGCCTTCCTTTCCTGGCCCCTCAGCACAACAGGGGTGGATGTCACCCAGCATGAACTGGTAACCTGCCAGTGCTGGTGGGTCAGATGCCATATCTCTGCTCTGTATGTAGCTCACTCTCACAGCCCGGCACGCTTGGAAAGATCAGAATACTGATCAATATGCCAGTTAGGAGGCTTGGCTTCATCTAATCAGTTTCAACTCCAATTATGTTGCCAAATTAAAAATGAATACTAATAATCATCCATGCAAAGAGAGCTTTCCCAGTGCAATCTATAGGGCCAGATTCTCAGCTAGTGTAAGTCACCCGAGCTGCATTGTATAATTGGTGAGCAGTCTAGCAAATCTTAGTATAATCCATGCCACTTAAAGGTCACTTTGCACTGCCAGAACCATATCGAGGACCTTAGTGTAAATGAGAATCAGGCCCCTGATTTTTAGGGCTTTTTCTGGCAGTTCAGATGAAATTTAATTAAAGAAAACATCCCCACTGATAGATCGTCAGATTAGTGCCACCCACCTTTGCAGATGGCAGTTTTTCGGACACCCCACTGAGGTCTAGAATGGTACAAAGGGGAACTATTGCATATACCTGAATAAAAAAAATATTTACAGTGGGGGAAAAGATCTTTTTTTTTAATAACACAGTTTCGCCAACGACAGATGGGGAAAATGATAAAGAAATGTCTAAATCTCACATCAATTAAAATTCATACTAATTAGATGTCGGTGAAGTTGTAGATTTAAATTAGAGCTGATTTAAAAAAACAGGAAAAATGATTCATGGATATTTCTAAAGATTTTTTTTCATTGAAATTTGAAGAATTCTGAAAAGGCCCTTGAACAACAAGTGGGGAATATTTGCAAAAATGTCATCAACTCTTTTTCTTCCTCAAGATGCAAAATTTGCACCAGTAATTTGAAATTGGAAAGTTCTGGTCAATTCTACACCTGGTTGAAGAATTAGGGGAAAATGTACAAAAATTTCATTGAAAATTGTTTTCCTTCCCCTCCCCATCATCCAAATCCAGAACTTTTTGGTCATCATTTTGAAACTCAAAAGTTCTGGGCTGTACTATCGCTTGGTCGCAAAATAGGTGAAAAAAAAAAAAAAAACGGCAAGCCTTTTACTGCTCTTCCCTCCCATTTATTTTTTAAAATCAAAACCTTGATTAAAATTTTCTTTGTGATTTGAAAAACTCCAATTTAACGGTTTACATTAGGGATTCAACTGTGAAAAGTCAGCACGGTATAAACTGGTGAGGGCATCGCCCTGTGATACTTTCTTCCAGTGCAAGCCATTCAAGCTGATTTCTACTGTCACAGTGGCTCAGGCAGTTAGCTACATCACAGATGGAACAGAACATGCATCTTCATCCCCTCCTGACAATATTACCACCAATGTACTGTACTGACCCGACCCTAATATACTGTAATCGGCTCAGCTAAAGCTTTATACTATCCAATGAGCAGAAACACACACGTTGTGGAAGGGAAATTAACGTTTCTCCTGCTTAACCTTTACGGATGACAACGTTGTCACTATAAGACTTTATCCGAGTCATAGTACAGAGACTGATGAAACCCTGATCAGGTTTATGAATTAGCAGGACAAAAAAATACATTCTGTAAGGGACCAGATCCTTTGATCTGACTTCCCACTGATGTCCATGGGAGCTTTGCCACTGATTTCAGTGGTAGCAAGATATATGCCTAAGGGTTGAGCTGAGAGAGAGCTTATGTGCTTAGTGCATATTCGTGTAGGCTAAAATTCACCCCAGGCAGAGGCCCGTGTACCACTTAAGTCCTATTTGGGGGGTTTCTAGTGATGTATAGACATGGGGCTGGCGTATCTGCATGGGTTGAATTCCAGCCATCCTGCCAAATCCCTGGTTGCATTGAAGTAAATGGTACAAAGCTCCCATTCACTTCAGTAGGCCGGGAGCCGTGTGATTATGTTAAGCAGTTATCTGATGGGGCCTTTGTCCCCTTTGGTTATTGCCTCTAGGGGTAGTGTGTGGAATTAGAAGATCTGTTCAAAGTCAGGAGATGGCATATTTCTCCACTGCGGGTCTCAGGTCACTCAAACTTACCCCTTTGCCACGTTGGGGTCACATAAGGCTTGGCACAGCTGCAAGGCATCACCATGGTTCACAGCTGTGTTTAAATGGCAGCCGCTGGACATTCCAATCAGAAATGCCAAGCTGACTCCCCTCTCCCTCAATAATCTACTCCTTTAATTTCCCATCCCATACATCTCTGATCTTTTTTATTTTGCCCCTTGATCTCCAGCAGGCAGGAACACATTTTTCACTTTTAACCCCCCACCCCAAGCCTCCCTCCCCAAAATAAAGTAAACCAAAGGGCAACATCCTTGCTGGTGTACGTTGACATGTAAACGCCAGATTGACACCAGCTGAGGAATGGGCAACGTGCATGGTCATCCGAGGTACAGGGAGCATGGGAGACTGGGGGGTGAGTGGCGACAGAGGGGGGCATTCTTCTCCCTGTGAATATTGGTTCAGTTTACACATGTGTGCTGTACCTCCAGTTCATTGCCCAACTAGCAAACGCTGGTGAGGCTGTGGACAGGCAGGTTCCTCTCTCATCATTAGGTAAGATCTTCAAATGCTTTGTTCTCCACTCTGGGTATCCCCACTCCTGCCTCCTTCCCCACCACAGTCCCGGGGTCAGCGAATTGAAATGAGAAGGGAAGCCAGTGCAGTTAGCTCAGGAATCTTGTCCCGAAGGGCTTTTGGGAACTCCCGCAGATAACAGCTGACAAACCTTGAGTCCCTCCTTTCGCCTGCATTTGCGAATGGATGAGCATTAATATCAGGGCTCAGTTTATTTCCTTACCTGATCTCCCATCCTGCCTTTTATGTTTATCCTCCGCTTGGGATCATGGTCCCCCACCAAACCTGCAAGGGCATCTCAGTTCTGCAGTGGTGTTTACACAGCTTGGTGCATGGGAGCTTTGTTTTCACTGGGTTAATTACCCATGCCAGAGGAGTTCTGCTACCATTCGTCGCTGCTCCTTGAGGTAGTTGAGAAAGCGAATTCTCTTTCAGCATCTACAAGCTCAGTATCTTTGAGATCCACCAAACAGGCCCAGAAATACTTCAAAGTGGAGGAGGAAAAAGTCATGGTAGGACTTGCGGGTGTAGTCGGCTTCTTGTAGCCCATCATTTATTCCAGAAGTTTCTAGACTTTTAGAATACTTCCAACTCAGCGCGAGATGGAAGATCGAGAAGCAGAGACCTGTTGAGATTACAGCAGCTAAAGAATAAGAATAATAAAGCCCTAAAATGCGAGATGGTTTCAAAACAGGACATTTTTGTTTGTTTTTCAACATTTTCCACAACATTATGGAACTTTTTCATCTTTTTTTTTTGGTTGTTGATCCATTTTTGAAAATTCTCAATTAGAAAAATGGACATTTTCAGTTTTGAAATGAAAGTTTTTGGTTTAGGAAATTTTCAGTTTTGGAAAAACCCTTCCACGCAACTACGCTGGCCGACCAAAATTAGCAATAAGGGGAGAGGGGGAAAAAGCCCTCCAAAACCCAAAAATGAATAGTTACATGAAAATGCAATGCAATAAACGCAGGGTTTCTTCGGGGGAAAAAAAGGGAAAATGTAAACGAAATCTAATTTTGAGAGGTGAAATTTTTCTTTCCTTTATTTAAAAAAAAGGCCATTTTTTTTGTTGAATTAGTTTTTCATTAATTTTTTTTTTTTTTTTTTTGGCCTAGTTCTCCCAGATCTAAAGCCTCTCTAAATAGATCTGTGCCATTAAAACTCAGCTCTCCTTGGCAGATTTCAGTTTATTCCCCGAGTGGTCATGAGCTCTCATCGCAAAAGTCACTGGTGCAAATTAGACCCCTTTGCTCGCAGCCTCACTAGAAAGGCCATGGATTGAACGTGCACAGAGACTGACCTGCCCTCGGGGAGTCATTCCAGAGCAATGAATAGCAGTAGCTATGCCGCTGACTGCATGGTTCTATGGCTCAAGGAAGGACTTCATTGTCCAGGCCCATCAGCCTTTCTCTACTGGTGCTGCTTGTCCTATTTAATCAGATGCTAACTTAGCGCTTTGTTTGGCAATTCAGATGAATTCGCTAGCAGGTTCTTGCATAGATAACTTCTACCATGACTTTTTTCCCTTAAATGAAATTCCTCTATGTGCAAAGGCCCAATCAAGGCCAGAGGAGCATTAGACCCAATCCATAGGGCTTAAATAGGAATTAAGTGGCGTACACATTTCATGTCGGACCCTCTGCGTACGGATGAATTTCATCCTGGGGGCTAGATCTCTAGCAGGTGTAAATCAGTGTGTTTCCATTGATCTACACCGAGGATCTGGCCCTTGGTGAATTCTGGGACTGCTGCTGCCTTGCAAAATTATCGTGAAAATGGAGCAGCTTGGGAGCAAAATCCTACTCGCCATAATGATGGACAAATCAACAAATTATTCTGTCTGCTTGTCAAAGAGACCTCGAAAGTTGAGCAATTTGCAACTTTGACAACACTTTATTTGAGAAAAAGTTTTGATTATTATTTTTTTGTTCTGTTAAAAAAGTTTCCACATGTCAACAGATTTTTTTCCCACAGTAAAAATGCTGACTCCTTTCCCTATGGGCTCGCAATCCAGAGTGGAATTTTGCCAGGCTACGGGGGGCTGTGTTGCAAACTGGGCAGTATGTGGGAGGTCTCTGTGGCAGGTTTTGTGTTGCCTCCATATGTCAATCTAAGCTGAAGTCCCCAATCTGAAATTTAGCTGACCATTAAAATCAGACCACGCCCACCTTATTACGTTAGCGATGTATGGGTACCATCCATCCATCCGAAGGCTTTGCATGGCCTTGCTTTGAAATTAAGCAGACTACAAAGCATTTCTCATCAATTTTATTTTTCCGTCACTATCCTGCAAATAAACACTTTCTCTCCTGTCGGGAGACTTATGGTGGAATGTCATTTGCAGCTCTCAGTGCATTCTGTAGTCAAGAGGATCCGAAATGGTTAACTCCATTGACAGGTATAAAAGACCATCTGGTACTCAGCCATCTGACCTGCTCGAACATCAATGTAGAACAAACCTGAGGAAAAATCTTTTTGCTCGTTAACTTCATACTCTAACTCCCAACTTGACATGTCTACCTTGGAGCTGAGAGCTCGGAAAATAAAAATGCAACCTGGATGCATATATATATTTTGAGAGCGAGAGAGAGATGGAGACAGACCACCAATTGACTGGCTAAATCAGTTACAAAATGGCATTAAACTGTGGCACCAAGCAGCTAACATTTCAAATAAATAAAAAGCCGAGGTTCAAAGGTGATCTTCAGAAATCTGGTGTTGGGTCTCTAAAACGTGCATTGGCTCAACCTGTTTGGAAATACGGCTTGTGGGAAAGTTGGGACTGCACCGTGGGAATTGACGGTGGGGGGTGTGGGGTTTGACAACCGCATTAGCTTCACCGTTCAGGTGAAATGATTTTGGGGTTTTTTTGGTCTGGGTTATTCTCTATTTCCCCACAGACTGTAGAATCCAGTAAACGCCTCTTGATTTTCAAAAGACAACCAGAAGAATGACAATCTAAGAAATCAACACCCTCCTTTGTGCTTCTATAAATATGTTTCTGATCTTTTAATTTTATTTCTCGTGCTCCACTGTACTGTTGACAGTTACATTGTGTATAATTTGTTTTTTAATTTGGAATTTTGCGTTGTATAGGGTTTAGTTTTAAAAAATATATATATATTTTTTCCATTTTTTAAAAAGGGGTGTTGCAAAAAAAAATTGCACGATTTAAATGACAAACAGTTCAAATGCTGCAGTTTTTAGAGATATGGAAGCAAATGGAGCTTATTTATTCTCAAAAGCTATAAAAGGTGTAAAATGCATGAAGAAAAAAAACATTTACAAAAAACAAAAACAAACAAAAAAAGACAAAAAAAGTGTAACCTGAACAAAGTGTAGCGTTAAAAAAAAAAATTTAAATGATGACAACAATGAAAAACAGCTAATATATTGTGTTTGGCTAGTTTGCTTTTGTTTTTAATTGTTCCTTTTTTTTTTTTTTTTTGAGAATGAAATACAATTGTGTATATTTTCATATAAGAAGTATGCACTGATATGTTTCAAAAAATGATATATTACTTTCTAAAGATGTGGTTATTTACCAAAGTCTGTTTCTGATCTTTTCCTTCTTGAAACCTATGTGGATCCTTCAACATCCATACTCTGGGGTTAAATACAAGGGGCCTATTTGAAGTTACACTAAGATCTCTTTACATTGCTGTGGAAGAGCTACAGTGGCATGATCTTAAAGCTGCTTTATACGGCCAGAGCAACCTAAAGAGTCCTTTGTGTAACAGGTTTACTTCTCAAGCGACTCAGATGTGGGGTTTGCTTTGATGTGTGGTACCTTCCCTACCAACACCAAAAATGTAGGGCATAGCCTAGGTTATGAACAGATTTTAACCATAGGTTAAATGCTCCATCAAAGACTGTTTTAACCCATCAGGAGAACAAAATTGTCCTTCAAGGATGGGGCGTGAGACAAATCAAGACGTGCACTGAGGATTTCCTGGGTAAATTAAGAATCAAACACAACGCTAGGCTCCTGTTCAAAGTCATATTTTGTCAAGTAGATTCCAGTGAATGAAATTGGATCAGGAGTTTCTTCCGTATACATCAGAGATGGTGCTCCTGGGAGTTGTAGCATTTTGGTGCCCTGGTTGCTGTTCATTTCAACCCGAGTGTGCTTATGTTTGGCCATGACAGAGACCATATGACTGCGTTGGGCCAGATTGTGGTCATGCGTATGGGTTTTGGAGCCCTAAGGCTTATGGAAATTTTAGGCCACTTCAAAAATAATAATATATTTCCTGTCATCCCTTAAGGAAAGGGGTTAGGTTTGATTCACCTCTTTCTGAATAAGAAACTGGGGTGCGGAGCAGGGGCAGCAAAATTTCAGAGATCGGTGTATTTTCAAAATTTGGGTTTGCAGCAAAATATTGTCAAAGGTGCAATCAGGCTATGGGACATGGCATCTCCTGCATTAGAAGGGCAGAGAGAAGATCTCGCTCAAGCTGGAGCAGAGTGCAGACTAGAGATTGGAGATACATTTTACAGAGCCTGATTCCCCAGCAGAGTAAAGGGATCTCAAAGTCAGAGTCAGTTACAGTTGCACCTACGTTAAGGCCCCTTTATGCTGCCAGAGTGGTGTAAAGGGGCCTGGGTGAAGGAGAATGCAAGCTTGGAAGCAAATGGATAGCCAAACTCCTAACAGAGTTACCCAGTGGCAATCAGGTACCATTGCATATGGGAAGGGGTATAAATTGGATTGAATGAAGTACTGAATGGGGATAAGCCGACAGGAAAATTCTGGACCCTACCACCCCATCACTTTCGGGGGTCGGCTCTGAATGCAAATTTCATATTTGGGTCCTATCTCTATAGTGGGTGAAAGCCAAACACAAAGGGCCCCGCTTCTCCTGTAATCACTGGCACCGCTGCAAAGTGAGTGTAAAACACTGCCGTTTCATCTGGTAGTGTCACACTCCTATTGCACTGACGTCAATGAGCGAACAAGGGGCCGGGCAGCTGCGAATCAGGGAGATCAAAATCCTCTGAGCCCACCTCTGGACTTAGGCAGCGAAGCACATGGGGCCAAATCCTCTGCTGGTGTAAATGGGAGCCAGTGGAGCCATGCTGAGGTTCTCAGCATTGGGGGAGGGGGCATCATTTTGGAATCCCTGTACTGGGGAGATGGCTGTGCTAACTGAGTTCTCTTCAAACTCGGCACTCCTACGACCACTCGTTCCTTCAAGCTTAGCCCAAATTTCCTCCATAGTACATATTTTATCAGCAACAAATCATACGGTTTTCTGAAATTTTGCACACCAAGGGTCTTATGCTAATCCCCCACCCCACCCTCAGTTATACAACCATAAAGCAATATTACTACCCAGAAGCTCACGTGGGGATATAATTGAGGGCAGAATTTGGTGTAAACAGAGCCGGTTGAAAAAAAACAACCCAAGAGCAACTGTGTTGGGCAGCAGGAAGCAAAGAAAATTGTCTAACTTCCACACTGCTGAAAAATCTCATCCATCTGAATAAACACATTGATTTTTTTTTTATTTTAAAAAAGTTCTTTTTTGGAGCCAGCAAATTCCATTGACATTTTGAAAAATAAACGTTGACTGGCTTAAAAAACCCCACCCTCACAAATTTCACAATTTGAAACGTTTTGACCAGCTCTAGGATAAACATTGTAAAACTTTTAATAACCACGTGGACGGGTAATCTAGATAGAAATATTTATTTCTTTTAGTGGCTCTCTTAAGAGATATTGCAGGAAAAGAATATATATATATATATATAAATATATATGGCTACATGGGAGTTCTTAAACTCCTTTTTTTTTTTTTTTTGGTAAATGCCAATTCCCTACATTGCTTAACTATCCCTAATAGCGACAAGGTTTCTAGCGAACGTTTACATGGTTTTGTAACCTGATGGAGTCAAAGAATTGTTTTCAGTTTGCTAAAAGGTTTCAGGTGTGCTTCTTCCCATGCCTGTTGTTCCATGCCATTCCCCATTTCATCATGATGTCGTCCTCTCTTCCCAGTTCATTCCCCCAAACATTGGGTAGGATTTTGAGAGATCCCGTCCATTGAAAGCATCCGAAATATATTCTCTGCTGGCCAACAATTCTGTTTGCCCAATACAATCATGGGAGGGCGAGAGACAATGGAGGGAGCTGCCCGATTCCTCCCTGGTCTGTCCGGTTGTCTGCCTTTGCTCCCCATTTGGGTTGGTGCACGACCGTGCAGCCGCATGGCTTGGTGGCAGTGGGGGTGAAGAGAGGCTGGCAGAGGGATGGCGGAAAGCCAGATCCTGCACTGGTCAGAACAGGGCTGTGGGAGCTGGGTGTGCCTGGCACTTGAGTGGTGGCCTGGTGGCTGCCTCCCACCCTACACCAAGGGCTGCCTTGGATGTGGAGGGGGAACGGCTCACTGGCAAGATGGCTACCTTGCACTCGAGTTTCGGTTCCCCAGTCGGGTTTAAGGAGGCCTCATGCCTCACAGGCATAAACTTAAATACTCTACCGCACCCCCACCCTGGTCTCTATACAAGGCTGATGCAAGATGAGCCAGTGAGCGACCTAGGACCTTTAGCACCCAAAACCTAGGCCTCTTTCACTTGAGCAAAAGGAGTATCTCCCTTAGCTGGTAGCAGTAGCAAGCTCTTATCCTCTGCACGGACCAGCCACTAGAGGGGGACATGGCAGCCTCATCCCGTGTGTTGCAGCAGCTTTGCTGAAAAGGTCAAAGGCCCCGTTTGCGGGGGGAGAGGGTGTAGATCAGCGCTCGCTGTGACAGGGCCGCTGGTCTCCAACCTGTGCCTGCTAGAACACGTGATAGTGGGACCCAGCGTGGGGGGAAGCTAAGGCTGAATGGGACTTCCCCTTTGTAGATGGCAGGAGAGAAATCCACAGGGCTTACTCCCATGAGGAAAGCAAGCTGGGTTTGGAGCAGAGCCATTCAGAGGTTGTTGAGGTGCGGGGAGGGCTCATCTCTACTGTTATAAAAGGCCAGACTCTAAGTCCAAACTGAAGCTTCGAATCAAGATGGGAATCAGGTTGGGGAATGCCCCCCTGCAGCCGTAATAAGATCCTGACTAGCTGTGCGAGGAAAGAGAGAAGAGTGCTTGATCCTGCATTCCCCCCTCACCCCAAAGCTGCCCCTGGGGGGCATTGGGAAAGCAGGATGGGGTCAGATCTGGCCAGCTTGCCTTGGTAAGTGGGAGCTGGGCAAGGAACAACCTGTCCTGGCACCGCAGATATCCAAGAGCCTAGAAAATAACATTTCCCTCCTCTCTCTTACATCTTAGCATAAGCCACATCCTCAGCTGGTGTAAATCAGTGGCATTTCATTGATGAAGCCAATTTACATGGGTTGAGAGCGAGGTCCTACATTTTCTTCCTTTCTCACCTGTTTTCCATCCTTTCCCCCACAACTTCGCTCTCCCTCCTTCCCTCTGTTAAAAAACCACTCCACCCCATTAAGTAAGTGTTACGTTCTCACTACCTCCGTCATCCCTCTTTCCATCTGAAAACCAGAAGCCATGAACAGTTTGTAGAAGAGGTCCTTTCCTCTGGCTTTCCTTTCTTCTGGAGCTCCAGTCTCCCGGTCTTTCTTCCCTTCCCTCTGATCTTTAACTTGTAGTATTTTACCTGGCTACTGTAATTGTAAATAGCAAGTTTCAATATGTTAGCAATGGTAACAGTACAGGAAACTGTTTTTTTTTTTTGTTGTATTGATATGAAATGAGATTATATTTTTGTCAGAGTATATTGTAATAATACTGACTTTCAACATGGCCGCAACTGTACAGCTTATTCTTGTTTTACCCTCTCTTGACCTGTCCTTCTTCCTTTCCTTTGTCCACAGACCTGCTCCCCCTTCCCCTCCCCTCCCTGATTTGTTCTATATCGCAGAATTTAAACCCATCCAGGCGACGTGCCAGGGTGGAGAGAGGGCCAGGAGTTGGTGATGGCTTGAGCAAAGAGAGAACTTGTAACAGAGCCCAGAAAGATCCTTCGTAGAGAAGTTCTGAAAGTCCAAGGGTCCGATTCTCCCTCTCCTTTGCACGTTACACCAGTGCAAAGTCAGGGTGTAAAGCACTAGCTTTGCATGGGTGTCAGTGACTAGGCCAGTTGTGTGTTACAGCTCTCCGGGCTGGGTTGTCTGAGGAATGAACCTGAGACCTTGGATCTGAAAGCAGGAGTGTCTTACTCCTGTTTGAGCTAGCCTGTGTGCAGTAAAACTCATAAACTGCTCTAGCTGCTAGCCGCTACAGGGGACAGCATCATGCTGGGTCAGCACAGGTTAAAGGCAGCGAGGAATCAGGACTGTATTTCCCAGTGGCTTTAGCAGGTAGCAACTAAGTCCTCAGATGGAGTAAATGTGTTCCGAATTCTGTTGAAGACAACGGGGCTATGCTGATTTATGCCAGTTGAGCATCTGGCCCGCTACTTGAGTCTGTGGTTTCTGATGTGATTGTCCCCCTGCTCGTATGAAAACGGAAATGGATTTAAGGCCAGATTGGTGGCATTCCAGTCCAGGTGTCCCCATTGCTTAGTTTCATTGTGGCGTTCTGTTCTCTGCTAGTGGTGTCTGGGCCACACGGAGGTGACTGGCCCTGCCACCACCTTGGCTAAGGGGGTCTTTTAGCTCAAGCAGTAGAGGCTCCTGCCTTTAAAGCTGGAGGTGCCAGGTTTGATTCCCACTGCCAGCAATGAACCGCTAGGAAGCAGTATTGGCAAAGGGAGTCATGATCATGCCCCAGACAGAACACGGGTGGTTGTCTTGGGTGAATTTCCCCTCCTGTTCAGAGATGCCAGCATGAACCACTGGAATGCTATTTAAGCCTTCAAAATCGGTCGGAAGTGATGCACACGCCTTGTGCTGGCCCATCTGCAAGTGGGTGAATTGCACCCCCTCCTCTGTATTCCCCATAAGAGACAGAGAAGTCCTGACATTGCAGCAGAAACAGGAGTACTCAGACCTCATTACCTCAAGTCCGGTGTGGATCAGAACTTTCCCGAAGTACTAGTGGGGTTCCTTGTCTGTTAAATAAACCTCGCTTTGCTAGCGGAAAGGAAATTGTGTGTGACTGTCCTGGGGAGAGACAATCTTCCCTGCAAATCTGAGCCGGTTCTTCTGTATCCCCTCTACATGTTATAGGAACTAGGCCAGATTCCCAGAAATCAGTATGGCTCCATTGGAGTCAATGGGACAGATCTTCAGCTGCTGTAACTCAGGATAGCTTCTGTGAAGTCAATAGAGCTACGCTGATTTACGCTGGCTGTCCCACTGAGTCTCATTTACCCTGAGGCCCCTTTACGCCATTCTGGCCGGGTAAAAGTGCGTCAGTGTAAATGAGAATTGAGCAGACTTGTATTTATTGTCCCGTTCAAGTATTTCTGTCCGATCCTTTCATTTCACTCTCTCCAGCAGAGAAAACGAATCTGAGAACAAGCCCACAACAACTGAGTGGGATCAAAGGTAGGGAAAGTGATCTGCCAACCCCTTGTCTACAGGCCTGGTTCTCATTTACACTGACACCTGCTCTACCCACAGATTTTGTCCCAGTATATTAGTTAGGGGGGATGATTAGTTTACCGATATCGTTATTCCAGTGTAACCCCTAGTGTGTATGCAGTTAAACTGGTATAAAGGTGCCTTGTACTGGGTCATGTATTCCCCTTCCCATATGGGAATAGCTGTACCAATATAAACCCCTTAATGCCAGTATACTTGCATGCACACTTGGGGGGGATTTCTCTGTCTAACTATATTGGTATAAAGTGGAACAACTTTTGTGTGCCTTAAACCTCTTTCACACAACTGTGGCAGCAGAACGGAGGTTGTAGTGTATAAATTTGTGCCCACTTTATGGTCCCTTTACCCAGCCAGAATTATGTAAAATTGTAAATGAGAATCTAAGAAGGAGAAACCAGAAAGCACACTTCTGGCCACGCTTGGGGCAGTTGCTCTTTGTGTCAGCTCAGCCCAGGACCTCTTCCCCCCCATAGCCACCTGTTTCAGAATAGCTACTGGCATGATGCTAAAAACTCTCAGGATTGTGGCCGCACTGTGGTTGACCACGGCACGCTTATCTCAGATTTCTTATGGATGATGTTAACATCAGGTCCTCTTTCTCTCCTGCTCCCCACCCTCCTCGCTCCCTGTAAGTCAGATAGATCGGGATAGATGTAGTGTTCTCTGGGCTATGTGCAAAAACCTTTATAAAATAGAATAAACCCTTTAAATTATGCACTAAAGAAACAAAACAAAACCCCAACATATATATAGTGTGGTTAGTCGAATTGCCTACACAGTTCAGCCCTCCTATATTGTCACAGGCAGCTTTCATTTCCCGCCCGTGATGGTGCAAACGTTCAGTAAATTGTGCACTTCCCTTTATTAGTTTTATTTATTGTTTAGAAAGGCAATTTTAAAAAGCTATACTCTGTATCTAAAAGTATACATATATATATACATATATATATATATATATATATATATATTTTAACCTCTTCTTTCCCATGCCCCAGACCCTCCCCTTTTTTGTGTGTGAATTAAGGGATTCTGTTCTCTTGGGTGGCAGCAGATCAGTTTAAAACAAACAAAAAAATCCATGATCTTCGTGTAGGAGAGATCTGTGGGGAAGGGTAATTTTTCTGGGGTGTTGCCCCTCTTTGATACATCTGGATCGTTGGGAGTCCATCGATCCACTGAAAGCAAGAAAGCAGTAGAGAGGTGGATACATGCTAGTAGCTTGTAAATTTCCATCCAGGATCTTTGGTTAGGTCCATCTTTCTCTAGGCATTTGCAATCCCTGGGGTTTGGCCTTCTATATTAATCTCCCAACCCCTGGGAGCTCTTTCTTGGTACATCCTTGCTTTCTTAGTCCCAGTCCTGTCCCTTCCCACCCCACCCCCAACCCCCACCCCTTTGACAATCAGTGGCTCCTTCCCAGGGACAGCAGCACGTCGGTGAGATGTCCGTTTTGGTTTTTCAATATTCCTTTCTTTGTGCTGTATGGTGATGCGTTATTGTATATTACACGATAAGAAAAAGAGGTAAAAAAAAATGATCATGAAAAATTCTGATGAGTTTTGTTTGGAAACTCTTTCACTATATTTGTTGTAAAGAGGTTTACTATTAAAAAGAAAAAAAAATACATGTTTCTGATAACTTTCCTCGCCTCTGGTTATTCCCCCCCCCCTTCTTTCTGAGCGTGACTGTGTGAATGCTAGAGCTTGCCAGGCGGGGTGGCGGGGGGGAGAGTTTTCTCATTTGGAAATTCGAAATTCACTGGGAGGAGGGAGGGGAGCATTTCAGTGACATGTTTGCCAATTTTTTACCTTTTTTCTGGTCAGCTATAGAGTGGATCACTTTTTTTCCCCTTAAATCTTGATGGAATTTCAAAGTTGGGGGAAAAAAACCCCACAAAATCTGAGGGGGAAAATAATCAAATTGTGGGGTGTAATTTTCTTCCTCTTTTCAACCAGTTTCACCATGGGATCTCCATCATCTAGCTCAGTAAAACAGCTGGAAGGGAAGGATGGTCCATACCTCAAACGTATTTAGGATTTTTAATCGTCAGTTCCCCATCTGTAAATTGGGGATACCAGCACTCACAGTTGTGTTCTGAGGATAAGTGCATTAAAGGTGGTGAAGTGCTTAGCTACTACAGTAAGAGGCCATATAAGGCCCTGGCATATGTAGTGGGTGGTAATCTAGGACACATGGACGAATTGGTCCCTCTTGATATCAGTGGGTTTTGGATCAGATTCTAGAGTGATTGGAAAGGGGGAGGGGTTTTCTTTGTTTGTTTGTTTTGTTTTTAATTTTGCAATAAATTCTAAAGATTTTTTGGTCATGTGGTTTTTGAAAGGGGATGCATTGTTGTGTTTTAAAAGAATTTTTACACAGAATTATTTTTATTTTTCATTATTGAAAACTGGAAATGCAACTTTTTTGATTTCAGAATTGGAAAATGTTCACATTTTGGGGGGACAGATCCCAATCTGCAACTAAGCTAAGTTCTTAGTATTGGTGATACCGCCATAAAAGGGGAAATGAAAACCATCAATGCAACCAACCAATCAACAAAACACAAGGCCTGATTCTCATTTATGTAAAGGCTCTTTTCACGCGCTGTAGCAGTGCAAAGGGGTCTTAAAGTGAGTGTGATTTACACTCACTGATGGTTCCTTTATATGGCCACAGCAGTGTAAAGGCACCTCTATGTAAATAAAAATCACGCCCAGAAACCAAAAAAAAACAGACACCATTTTGCATCAGAAGTTTCTGTTGAAAAGTTTTGGAAACTTAGTATTTAAAAAAAAACATTTTAAAGTTTTTTGATGATGAACTAATTGGTTCCAAAGGACACTGATGAGCAATCATAGAATCATAGAATATCAGGGTTGGAAGGGACCTCAGGAGGTCATCTAGTCCAACCCCTAGCTCAAAGCAGGACCAATCCCCAATTAAATCTTCCCAGCCAGGGCTTTGTGAAGCCTGACCCTAAAAACTTCTAAGGAAGGAGATTCCACCACCTCCCTAGGTAACGCATTCCAGTGTTTCACCACCCTCCTAGTGAAAAAGTTTTTCCTAATATCCAACCTAAACCTCCCCCACTGCAACTTGAGACCATTACTCCTTGTCCTGTCCTCTTCTACCACTGAGAATAGTCTAGAACCACCCTCTCTGGAACCACCTCTCAGCTTTGTTCAGCACCTTGCAGGATTGGGCCTTTGACTGGCTCTCACCCTATCTGAGAAGGTGGCTGCATTCTGCACTAGCTTCTGGGTGTTCGTGAAGGGGTCGGTTGTTCTCGCACCAGCCCGCCCACACCCCCTCTGCTCTGGATTCATGCCCCAGAGTGCACTGCCAGAAATAACTGGGGGCTGCATTCTGCTAAGGGCCATTTATCTGTTTGCATTGGTCAAATGGACCTTTGGTTGCATTTAAATACTAGAGAAACAAACTGCCTAATTGGGCAGAGCAGTTGTACAGGTGTACGTCTCGCTTCTAGAGGGGTGACATGGGGGTGGAGCGCGCTGGATCATGTTACCCCCCCCAATTTGCTGCCTGGCTTGTACTGAGCATGCTGACATGGACTGAGCATGCTCAGTAACATCTGCTGAAGCTGTCTGCCCTCACTTTGTGCCCCCCACTATCCCTAGGCACGGGTCATTTCTGTCTAGTGGCTGGGCTGAGCAATTGTACAGAGCGTGCGTATGTGTGTTTGCATGTGCATTTACCCCCCTCCCCCAGTGGCTGGTGCACAGAAAAGCAATGAAAGACCTAACACGGGTGAGTACCGAGGGTGATTCTCCTCTAATTCATGCAGCCGAAGAATTGCCACAGCCAAAGACATCGAGGTTCTCACCCCACAGCTGAGGGGGTGGTTGCACATCTCTGCAGCACGGAGTTTTGTGCTGCAGGGGCAGGTTCCCGCTGATAGACCAAATGCGCTACCCGTCGCACTTTACAAAAGCAGTCAGTAGCGTCATCCTCACTTTACAGACAGGGAAGTGACTTAAACGCAAGATCACCCGGCAGCAGAACCAGGCGGAGAATTCAGGTCTCTGAGTCTCAGCCCCACGCTTGATCCTCCAGGCCACCCACTTGCCTCCTTAGCAAGCCTCTCTGATGCAGGGGCATGGGCATCGTCTCTCTGGGAAGCCAGGAGCCAAACGACAAAGCATTAACGCAAAGCACAAACGGTCAGTCCTGTTTTGTTCCATGCCTGGTGCTGCTTCCTACACAGAAGCTGTACAGGCCTAGGGATGGTCGACATTTTTCCATCGGAACTGTTTTTGGATGGAAAATTGGGGTTTCAGATACGTTAACATTTTTTGCAAAAAGTCTGTATTTTCTGTGGAAAAATCTTGATTCTTTCAGGTCCAAAAAAGGTCCCCAAACCTTTTCCATTTTCAGCCAAAAACTGAAAAATTTCAGCTGAAAAACACAATATTTCAGTTCTGAAATGCCACCATGCTGCCTCATCAGAGTGGTAGTTTTTTTTTGGGGGGGGTGGGCCGGGTTCATGCCTCCATTCTCCTCTCTACTGGAGCTGGGTGAATACCAGAAAAATTGGGGAAAAGATTGTGTCACGTTCAGCAAATCTTTCATTTGACCCAGTAGAGATCTGAGCTGTTTGGGTCAGGATTCACATGGGTACTGGATGGTTGGAGGTGGCTATTTATACCGCCACACTCTGTGCTAGTCCCCTTTCTTTCTTTCTTTTTCTTTCTTTCTTTCTTTCTTTCTTTCTTTCTTTCTTTCTTTCTTTCTTTCTTTCTCTCTCTCTCTCTCTCTCTCTCTAAAACAGAGAATTTCTTTTTCCTGGATGCTCTTGGTTGCACTAAATTCACTTTCTGTAAAAGCAAAACAAAACAAAACAAAACAAAAAAAACCAAACCAGACCCCAAAACTTCACTGATCTTGTAGCAACAGCTAGTTTGAGCCATGCACCTCCACTGACAACAACTTGGAGTAATTCTTCCTTTCAGCCACAAGGTGGCACCAGGTAGCGACACAATGGGTGAAAGCTAAACAGAACCCCACAAGTGCTGGAAGGTCTGTAGCTGAGGCAGCAGACCAGGAGGCAGGACACCTGGGTCCAGTTCCCAGCTCTGTCAGCAGACTCCCTGCGTGACCTTGGGCAAGTCACTTAAGCTAACATTTTCCAAGGTGCCTCCGGGATTTAAGAGCTTAAATTCCATTAACTTTCAATGAAACGCAGGCACTTTTGAAGAGTGAACTCTCTCTGGGCCTCAGTTCCCCCGTTGTAAAATGGGAAGAATAATCCTTCCTTGGCCTGTCTTTTCTATTTAGACTATAAATTCTCTGGGGCAGGCACTGCCTCTTGCTAAATGAATGTACAGCGCCTTGCACAGCAGGCCTATGATCACTAGGTGTGATTGTAATAGAAATATTTACACCACCAAAGAGGATTATGCTGAGACCTGCATCCTGTGTATGACACTTTGACTGCCACGATCCCGCATCTGTAACATTCTGTCCTCACGTCTGTCGAGCAGCAGAGCATCCCGACAGCCGTCCCTTTCTCCAGCGAACGTGCCCGGTGATGCTTCTTTAACCGGTTGGTAACTTTGCGTAGGACTTTGCTGCTGAGTTAGCTTGAGCTGTAGGAAGCTGAACTGTTCTAGGACATCTTTCCCAGTGAATTGTAGGGGAACTTTTCTGTCCTTTCTGGGTGCACAGGGGGAATTGTGGGAAGGCACTGGAGGACTAGCTGCACTCCAGGGTGCTGGGACTTTGAGTTAGGGGCAACATTCACTTGCAATCAATGGCCTTTAGGCACCTGGCACTTTTGAAACTCCCACGAGGGGTCTGTCTGCATCTTTAAAAATCTGATCCTACACAGCTCACAGTGATTTATATAAATCGTTTCTATAGAGACTCCTAGTTGAAAAAGCACCTGCGGTTTCTGCACCTGAAAAGCCCAGGTCCATTCACAAGAAGATTCCACCTTGTGCCCACTAGTATCATTGTATAGACAACATTTGAGCCAGCGCAAATCAGTGGGTAGTGGCCAGAAGTCAGGCGACCTGGATTCGGTTTCCAGATCTGCCAATGGGCTGTTTTTAAATTTCCCCTCTCTGCGGCCCTGTTTCTCCGTCTGTGAAATGGGCCTAGTGGAACTGTGATTTTTTACATGGCACTTTGAGATCAGTGAGCTAGGTGACTGTGTCCACCAAGGGATGGGGTGCATTCTCCATCGCTTGAAATCTTTAACTCAGGAGTGGACAGCCTTCTAAAAGATATTCTCCAGGTCAGTTACAGGCTGTTGGGCTCAATGCAGGGATGAGGGAAGATGTCTGGTGGGTGTTATGTACAAGGTCGGAAAGGAAGATCATAGTGGTCCCTTCTGGCCTTAAAATTTATAAAGCTTCCTAATGTCTTTCTTTCAAATCACTCTGTGCCTCAGTTTCCCCTCTCTCTGTGTGCACCTTTACCTGCTTCATACTCACAAATGAAGCATTTTTATTTTCCAAATAGAAAGAGTTGATGTTAGTTTGTATTTTTGTATTAATTTTATTTTTATAGCTAAATGTTTAACTGGTTTTTCCCCCAATGAACAATGTCTTCCGACAAAACAGGAATGTGCATCCCCCTCCCCAGAATCCAAGTCAATTTGTGTCAAAAGTGCTCAGCTT